ATCTGTTTTGAAAAGTGCTGTTAACTAAAGTTTTCTTGCTTCACAGTTCATCGGTCATGTTGCTGCTTTTACCTTCGTCCAGACATGGGTCGTCCAATGGTAGTCACTTATTTTCCTTCGCATGGCGCCCTGTGTAACTGGGGCAAGAAGAGGTAACAGAAACAAATGATAAAAATCAGCCATACATACATGTGAATATGGTGAAGGCCTTCAGTGGCTGTATATTAAGACAAAAAGAATATTTCCTGTAGCACAAAGCAGTGTGTGTACAACACACACTTTGTTCCAGATGTTGGAGATCTCACCACAGCTGGGATGGAAACTCTGCTGAGTGTGTGTGACTGCGCTCGGTCTGTGGCGGTGAATGTGAATTATTTTCTTCAAAGAGTCGCAGAGTTTCTAATAAAGTTTCATGTTGGTGGTGGAAATCAGCAGCAGCTGAGACACAGAGGCCATTTCCTGTCTGTATCTGGGTTTGATTTGCTGTAAGACGACACGCTTGTTTGTTCTTCTCACTCTAATGAGCTTCGAGTGTAATTTGTCCGTTAACCAGCGGTGCTTTTAAAGAGGAAAAAAATGAAACACTTTTCTTTTCCTCCACCACTGGAGACTAATAACATGACTGTGTACGCACAGTCTGAGGCCAGCATAAACTCGTGTGTGTTTCTGCTTCAAATTAAAAGCTCATTGACAATTAGAATACGTCTCTTTTTCATCTCTGCAGCAAAATTCATTTATAATGAATACTGTTATTGTTGTCATGCATGTTAAGGTTTAACAGGGGCTTGAAAATCATTCAGATTAGATTAGACTCAACCAAATCTTCAAAATAAATGTCATTACTCCTCTATATCTTCACATAGCAAATACTCATTGCTGCTATAATGTCAGACACAGAACCTTTAAAGGGTAACTTCAGTATTTTTCAACCTGGACCCCGTTTTTCCACGTTTTTGGCCAAGTGGCTGATGGGAACAACAGTTTTGGAAACTGGTCCTCTACTGAGCGAGAGGGCTGCAGTCGGCAGTGGTGAAACAGGCTGCATTGTACCCACTTGGGGCAACTGACCTATGGCTAAGCCACGCCCCCTCCACTCACTCAGACAAACTATCAACATTCAGTGACCGGCGCTATGGCTGGTGTCACAGTACACGGCATTTCGCAGGAGGCAATTGATGATTTTTGGGGACATAATGATCAGATGTCATTGAGAAGTAACCAAAAGGGCCTAAACTACACATTGGAGGGATATATTCATCATTTTATTGTTAAGAAGGTCGATGAAAAGCTTAAATTACAAGCCAAAATTTACAGGTCACAGTGTACGCTTGTGAACCGCATCTGGTTGCCGTCACCATCAAAGACAACAAGTTAAAGTGCCACTGAAGTTAAGGTTTTTGGCTCAGAATATGAGAAAAGGATAACGGCCTTTTTACCATCTTTACCAAGAGTGTCTCTCCGTTAGTTTGGTGCTACAGTATTTACACTGAATCATTCAGCATAACGTTTGCCAACCTTTGTTATCTCTGCCATTACAGATAAGTTAATGAAGCTAAGCTCCAGAAGTTAACGTTAGCTTAACTAGAGCCCTTTGGACAACAGCTAACAATGATGTGCTATCACCAAAGTACAAAACTAGAACAAAATAGGCTAATGAACTCCCAGCAAACAAGGTGACATGATGAACAACGCAGCTAGGAGCTAACGTTAGGCTAACTTTAGCTAACGTTAGCTAGAGATGTTAAAGATAACTTTATATTTCTTTCCAGCAAAGTGACAATATGTTGCCTCAAACACAATGTTGACTTACCTTAGAACAGATGTAGACATCATTGTTAATCTTATTCACGTTGAGTTGATGTTGTGGTCTAACCTTACCACACAACTTTATCCAAAGGAGACACTTTTCTCAGTTGAGATGTGGTTTAAAGTGTAAAAAATACACCTGGTCGCCCAGCCTCTCAGGATACCTTGTGTCAGAGTTGCATGTACCCCATGCACACCGTTTGACCATTTTTAAACTTCAAATCTCAGAATACTGGACTTAGCCATAGGTCAATTGCGCACCGTCAATATACGCCCACATGCTCAGATTATAATTATAGGTGTTTAACACCATTACAGAAAGGATCCTCACAGAGACGGGCCTTTGTGTTGAAGAGTAAGATCGTTTTTGTTTGACCGAATACAGCCTCGAAATTGCCATCGCCACACCCACCAGACTCCATTTGAATAAACAGTAATTTTAGTGTGAATACAGGCAGCATGTTTTCACATGTAACTGGGTGAATTAAGGGTTAATTTCAATAAAACCAGAGGTGGTGAGTGTTGGAAAACTGAAAAGATGAACCATGATGGCTTTCCCAAGTTATTTTTTGCTTTTGTGGACTGTGAATGAAGTGTGTTTTACGAAGCTAAAATTACTGTTTTTTTATATGTGGTCTGGTGGAGTTGAGGATGCTGATTTCGAGGCTGTTCCTGGTCAGACAAAAAGGATCTTACTCTTAAGCAAATCTCTGCAGGGATCCTTTCTATAATGGGTTCAGACTCTTAGAATAAGAATCTCAGCCTGTCAGTGGCAGAAACAAACACTTTTAGAGTACGTAAATGACAGCAGCTGCAGGGGTCAGTACTGGACCAATGTCAAAAACTGTTGTTGCCATGAGTCACACGGGCACAAAAACATGAGAAAATAGGGTGCAGGTTGAAAAATACCAAAGTTGCAATGTGCCAGTAAAAGAAGAAGAAGAAGAAGAAAAAGTAGACTGCAGGCTCTTTAGAATTTAAAAACTTGAACTAAATGCCTTGATCAAGGGCTCTCAGCTGTGTGTGATAGATGTTTTGTGTGTGTGTGTGTGTGTGTGTGTGTGTGATTATCTGCCTGCATGTTTCAAGTCACGTAGAGCCTTCATCTGTTTATCTCTGTGTATACTGTAACAAACAAACTGTCGTCAGTCTGAAAGGAAGTCAGAGGTCATGACGACTTCTACTTGACTTCTACAGACATACAGACCCATAGACCCATAGACCCATAGACTGATAGACTGATAAATAGATAGATAGATAGATAGATAGATAGATAGAAAGATAATTAATAATCTACAGAGATGCATCATATTCTATGAGATCATCATATGTTTGTCACGTGGACACATTGATTTAGCTTCAGAAGTAGGAGAATTTAAGAACACTTCATCCTTCAGTTTCACAAACATTCAGCATCAACACATCTAGAGATACACAGTGTTTACTAGACAGGAAGGAGAGCCCAGTCAGCGAAAGAACATGTGGCATTGCACGTTTCGGCAAAGCACGAATAAATGTTATATTTGCATGTTTCATACGTATCATAACATTTATAAAGTTACTAAGTATATAAACTGACTTTGTCATTGGGAGGTGGAGGGGATGGTGGATGCCACTGCACCTAAACAAGATGGCTGTCAAGCTGCCGATCACTGCTCAAGACCGACAAACAAAAGCCAGTTGTGTTTAGGTGAGTCATGGCTGTTTTGGCTTTTTAGGCACAAAATGGGGATGTTTTGTTGCAACCTGTTGCATTTTTCAGGCACCAAACATAGGTGTTTTGTAGCGACCTGTCACCAATTTTCCAGCAGCTTTTTAGGCACCAAACAAGGGTGTTTTGTAACAACCTGTCACTATTTTTGCAGGCACCAAATGTGGTTGCTTTGCAACGACCCAAAACTGTTTTTCTAGCGCATTCGTAGGCACCAAACATGTTTTGTAGCGACTTGTCACCAATTTTCCATCTGCTTTTTAGGCACCAAACAAGGGTGTTTGTTTTGTAACGACCTGTCACCAATTTTCCAGCTGCTTTTTAGGCACCAAACATAGGTGTTTTGTGGCGACCTGCTGCTATTTTACCAGTGGCTTTTCAGGAACTAAATGGAGATGTTTTGTTGCGACCTGTTGCAGTTTTTCAGGCACCAACATAGGTGTTTTGTAGCGACCTGTCACCAATTTTCCAGCTGCTTTTTAGGCACCAAACAAGGGTGTTTTGTAACGACCTGTCACTGTTTTTCAGGCACCAAATGTGGGTGATTTGCAGTGACCCAACACTGTTTTTCTAGCGCATTCGTAGGCACCAAACGTGTTTTGTAGCAACCCATGCTGTTTTTTCCAGTGGCTTTTTAGGCACTAAACAAAGGTGTTTTGTAGTGGCCTGTCACTGTTTTTCAGGCACCAAACATAGGTGTTTTGTAACAACCCATCACTGTTTTCAGGCACCAAACGTGCATTTTGTAGTGACTTGTCACTGTTTTTCCAGCTGCTTTTTAGGAACCAAGCATGAGTGTTTTGTAGTGACCTGTCCTTGTTTTTCACACACCAAACATAAGTATTTTGTAGCAACTTGTCACTGTTTTTACAGCAGTTTTGCCGTGATCTGTTGTTGTTTGTCAGGCACTAAACATAGGTGTTTTGTAGCGACCCATCACTATTTTTCAGGCACCAAATATGGGTGTTTTGTAGTAACCCATAATTGTTTTTCCCAGCGACTTTTAAGACACCATGCGTGATTGTTTTGTAGTAACCTGTCGTTGTTTTTCAGGCACCAAACATGGTTGTTTTGTAGCAAACTGTGCTGTTTTGCAGCGGCTTTTTAGGCAGCAAGCATGGGTGTTTTGTAGTGACCTGTCCCTGTTTTCCACTCACCAGATGTAGGTATTTTGTAGCAATTTGTCACTGTTTTTACAGCAGCTTTTTAGGCACCAAAAGTAGGTGTTTTGTAGTGACCTGTCACTGTTTTTCAGGTACTAATCATAGGAGTTTTGTTGCAACTTGTCACTGTTTTTCAGGCACCAAGCATGGATGTTTTTTAGTCAATTGTTGCTGTTTTTCCAGCTGCTTTTTATAGTGCTACGAAAAGTGGTCATTTGTTTTAGAGAGACATTGGTTATGATCATGATCTTTTCCTAACCATAACTAAGTGGTTTTTGTGCCTAATGGTTTTCCCTGGACAGGAAGGGGATCAAATCTATAACCTGGAAATTAATTAAAGCCATCAGACAAATTTAGCGCAGTAAAAAGTAAAATATTTACCTCTGAGATGTAGTGGAGTAGAAATGGAAATACTCAAGTAAAGAACAAATACTTCAAATTTGAGTGAATGTACAGGCTGTATGAGATGTTTAAACTTCTCCGACTTCACGGCAGATCATGAACAGCAGTGAGAAAGCTCCAGGATCATCTCACAATACAAAATAAAATAAAACATCTTCTGAGAAGAATTCTGCTTTTTATGTGTCTGCTCGGTGGTAGCTTTCCAAAGTCTCAGTGTGAACCACGTCAATATGCTGGAATCAGAAAGAATAAAGAAAACGGTTTCAGTAAACTCTGATGGAGAGCAGGACTCGGTGGTGTAATAAACAGAGTCTGGAGTCTGCAATCAGTTGTGTTCAAACACTCCAGTAAAGTCAAATTTGTTGTTTAAGTGCAGTAATATGTTTTACTGCCTCAATTTCCACAACATTGTTTTATAAACAAACTTTAAGTGGAAAAAGGGGTTAAAAACTGGCTTCAATCACATGAAGTGTGTGTGTCAGATAGTAAAAGTTCAGTCACTTTATGTCAGAGTGTTTATGAGATGTTCCACTGTAACCAGCTGAAAGAGCAGAAGAAGAAGGGGGAGGGTCGAGAGGAGAGGAGGGGGTGAGAGGCAGAGTAAAACCTGAGTGACATCAGTTTGACTTCATCAGTTCTGTCTCCTTCGCCAAGTGGAGCTACTCTTCTTCTTCTTATCCTCTCGTCCTTGGAGGGATTTAACTTAATCAAAATCCACTGAGGAAGGCAGAAAAATACAGACAGGTGAGATTTTCTTCTTTTGTCAACATTTATCCAGATGCAACTTTTAAGTTTGATTTCCAAAAGATCTCGATCGTTTAAAATGAGCCATTATGTAAAATCAACAGATACATATGTTAAGATAATAACAGGCATCAATTTAACAGATAGTTTAAGTTTATTTTAAGTTAAAAAATGTAGGTGGACGATAAAAGCTCACAGGAAAAGGACAGTATAGTTCATTATGTGCTTTTGAAATGAGCAAAATGAGATAAAACTAATCATTTTTATGTTGTGTTTGTTTGAAGCATAATTTTATATGTATGATATTTGACCCAGATAGGCTCTGTAACCTTCTGTAAACGTATTTTTCAAATGCTTTCATTTTACAAGCGACAGTCCAAACAGTCTGGGTTTTTGAGGAGGACATTATTGAGCTGAGACTGAGTGAGGGAGAGAGATCAAACAGTGGACTACGTGACGATGTGAATAAAGGGGGTTGACCAAGCATTTTAGCGTCTTTCAGCTCAGCTGTTTTGGTTTTACTGATGGCGACTGTTTTGGACCATTCTCGTCAGCTGCGTTTCAAGAAGCAGCTCTAAAAGGTCACCATATATGATCTGCTCAGCGGCAAACAGCAGATACACACAGTTAAAGATAAGCTGGCGAACACAGTGGAGCATTCAGCAGCTAGAGAGGCAGATATTTCCCTCAGGAGTTGGTGGAGACCAAAAACTGAGCTAAAAGAGAGAGATTATTGGATTTTATCAGGTGGACACAAACACAAAACTCCTAATGAATGCTAGTTTTGCTCTGTATCTGTTGGGTATGTAAATTAGCTATGGTTCATCATATCACCTTAAAAGGTGATGATGCGTCAGCGTTGTTTTTGCTGCCTCAAAGAGTAAAAACGTTTTAATGTAGTGTTTCATGGACGACATTGAGAATTGCAGCGTTCAGAGAGACGAAGTTCAGAATTCTGACATTCTGTTATCTGTGCAGTGACTTGCTGTGTCAGACACTGACGAAGAAAGCTACCTGCGGCCGGACTAGATCGAAAGTTAAGGTGGCGAAAGTCTGATTAGGGCGGGCAGGAGGGGTGGTGGATGGGTCCAACGAACACTGACTTTCACCTGAGAGAGCGGTGTTCACGTCCCGTAAGATTCTAAAGCCAAACCCTGTTGTTTTGTCCTAAACCTAACCACGTCTATTTGTTACTGAAGGAAAAAAATATCAATTTACGGTGTTGTACCAACGTATGCTTTTATTTTGAAAGAGACGGTATGTGAACGTTAAATTTCCTGTGAAAACATAAGGGTATTTTGAAAGAAGACAATGCATGTAACAGGCAGAACTTGTTGTCCCAGAACGTCTACAACCAACACACCCAGGGTACCTTGCACGTCGTGTGTGGACATGGAAAGTCCACGACCAAACGTCAATATGTGACGAGGTCGGAGTCAAGTCAAGCCTAAAGTCATCAAATTTGTGACTTGAGTCCACACCTCTTCCTACAGATTCTGCGTACATATGCAGATACATGTAAGGGAATGAAGAATATTTCAACTGTAAGACGACCATTTGTACATCAGTTACCGCGTGTTACGTTGAATTCATGAAGAAAAGTTGTTTTTCTCACATGCCTCCACGGTGAACGAAGAATCTAAAAAAGGCAGTATAATCCAAGTCATTTATCCAGTTCAGCTCAGTACTTCTCAAACACACATATTTACACTCAGAACACAGTATAAAAACACTTGAGTATAAACAGTACAGACACACTCTGATCGTCCTGACAAGTGTGTTAACCAAGGATTCGATATTAGTTTTGCTGCTGTTAAATGTAAGCCTTGTTTACTTCGGTTCATGAAGAATGTTCGCCTTTTTTGGGATTCTGTTTTTCGGATTCTTCGTTCAGCATGGAGGCATACAAGAAAAACGTTTTCTTGACAAATTCAACGTAACACGCAGTGAGTAACTGATTTACAAATAGTCATTTTGCAAAGTTGCAAAGCTTTCCAATCAACCTCTAATTTTCTTTAACTTTTCCTCTGCAGTTTTTTCTTTTTTAGAGCCTGGAATCCAACAACTTCAGAACTGCTAGAACGTGCTCTACTCGGCTCCAATCAGTGCTGCGGACTTCTAAAGCTTCTAGAACTTGCAGCAGAAAAGGTTCTGAAATCAGAGAAGGATCTGGACCTGGATCTGAAAAACATTCTGCAACAACAGCAGGTTCTAAACTGGGTTCTGGAGTCTGCCCTGAATTCACAACAAGTTCTACGAGTTTAGGAGTTGGTTCAGGAGTCTCAGCAGGGTCCAGGATGGGTTCAAGAACCAAATCATGCTCCAGAATAGGAACCAGTTTGGGTTTCAGGGTTCCCTCCATGCCCGGAGTGTTTACCTCACTGCTGGTTGTCTGGTGTTTGGGGTTTGTCAAGCCCGCCAGTTGCCACAGTAACTTCTCAGATCTGGTGATGTTGGAGCCACCTGACTTCCACAGCACTGATGCGCCTCTGGGACCAGGGCTGAACTATCTCATCCAGACCTCGGACGGAGAGCCACACCTGGTGCAAGAGACCGTGAACAAGCCCCCGCCCCCCTGGGAGAAAGGAAAACCAAAACACGTGAGCAAGCTCAAACACAAATACGAAAGAAAACCTCCTTCTCACTCTCCTTCCTCTAACTCCTCCCTGGCGGTTCGTATGCGCCCGATGTCGCCCCCTAGCTGCCTGCAGGCCACGTCAATCCAAACCGCCTTCAAGTACATCAACACGGTGCTGTCCTGCGTTATATTTGCTGTGGGGATCATCGGAAACGCCACCCTGCTCAGGATTATCTCCCAAAATAAAAGCATGAGGAACGGACCCAACGCTCTGATAGCCAGTCTAGCCCTGGGAGACCTCATATACATCGCCATCGACATACCGATCCACGTCTACAAGGTACGCAGCTTCACTACGATGTTACTCAGACATATATTTGGATTTAAGTATTTACATCGTCATTGATGTTCTGATTTACTGAAACATGAGCCGAGAAGTCAAACACTCAACAGAGCTGATAAAGTGTTTACTTCCACGGTTTAGTTAGTATGTACTCTGATCTCTACACAGGGAATTTCAAAATAAAAGCACAGTCTTTTAATACAAGTTGGTCTAAAAATCATATTTCAGTTTTTACGTTTGAAATAAAGCAACATTAAATAATGATTATCATTAACCAGCTTTATTTTAATAAGACTGGGACGTAATTTGTGTCCTGAGTTTACAGGAGCAGAGATGCATTATGGGATATAAAACAAACTCCCTGTGGAAGCTGTGTGTGTGTTGTGTGTGTGTCTCAGTCAGGAGGTTGAGTGTTGCACTGATAACAGCACTAAAATACCCCACGGACTGAGATAACACGCCACACACACTCTGTGATATGATGTTAATGTGTGTGTGTGTGTGTGTGTGTGTGTGTGCAGCTCCTGGCGATGCGGTGGCCCTTTGCCGACAGTGAGTTTGGTCCTTTCCTCTGTAAGCTGTTTCCCTTCCTGCAGAAAGCTTCAGTCGGCATCACTGTCCTCAACCTGTGCGCTCTGAGTGTGGACAGGTAACACACACACACACACACACACATACACACACACACAATGTGACAATATGGTATTTAAATATTACCATATATAATATAATAATAATATAATCTTTCTTTCTTTCTTTCTTTCTTTCTTTCTGTCTCCCCCTCCCTCCTTTTCTCCCTCCCTGTCTTTCTTAGATCCTTTTTCTTTCTCTTTTTCTCCCTCCTTCCCGCCTCTCTCCTTTCTTTGTTCCTCCCCCTTCCTCCCTTCTTCCTCCCCGCTTTCTTTCTTCCATCCTTCCTGCCTTCCTCCTTTCGTCCCTCTTTCTCCCTCCCAATCTTTATGTTCTTTTTCCTTCTCTTTTTCTTCCTCCCTCTTTCTTTGTTTTTTCCTCCTTTCCTACCCTTCCTCCCTCTCTTCTTTCTTTATTTCTTCCTCCTCCCCCACCCCGCCCTTCATTATTTCTTTCTTCCCTCCTCATCTTCCCATTCTCTCACCCACTGACCCTCCCTCCCTCCCCTTCCTTCTTTCCTTCCTTCCCTCTCTTTCTTCCCTCTCTCCTCCTTCCTTCCTACCCTTCCTTCTTTCCTTCCTTCCTTCCTTCCTTCCTTCGTCCGTTTAGTCGGACCAAAGGAAAACACCAAACTAATATTTAGATACGAAGGATTAAGGTGCATCAACTGATGTCCACACATCCAGAGAGAACAAATGATTAAAAGTTACACCCATGTGCCCAGGTACCGTGCGGTGGCGTCCTGGTCCCGGGTGCAGGGCACAGGCGTTCCCACGGTAACGGCGATGGAGATTGTGGTGATCTGGATGCTGTCTATCACGCTGGCCGTGCCGGAGGCCATCGGCTTCAAGATGGTCACCTTCGAATACAAGAACACCACCATTAACACCTGCATGCTGCAGCCCGAGACGCCCTTCATGACTGTGAGTGTGTGTGTGTGTGTGTGTGTGTGCTTATGTCAGTGTGTTGATAGCTTCTGTAAACCTTCCCTCTCAAAAACAGGTTTCACAACTACAACACGATTCATTTGAAAGAATATTATTCAAAATTATTGTAAAAAATTCTAAATGCAGGAACTAAATCTGATTTTATTTCATGATATTGTCCAGTGACCCTTTTAACATGGTCGCACATAGTTTTAACTTCGCTCCCTGAGAAAAGTACCATGGTTTATGTTGGTGCACACTATGATCTAAAACTGAATTCTCAGGTCACAAAGTTCAGTATATAAGAAGCTGAATTTAAACAATGATTCCCATAAGAGGCCTCTAAGTAATATCACTGAACAGTTCATGGGTAGGGGCACAGAGAATTAGGGGGGGGGTTCTTCCCGGCACATCTGTGTGATGGATGGTCTCTGCGGGGAAAATACTCTTTGGTCCATTTCCAAGATTTCTTTGTTGTTGTGTTTCAGGGCGAGGCCTCTTTAACTCAAATGGTTTAGATCATCATTTCCTGTTTACATCTGCAGGTCGCAACTGGACTAAACACAGGCCGCCCAGGCACTCCAAACTGAACCTGGGTCAACTGACCTGCTGTTAGTCTTTAGATGTGTGTTTTTCTCCCAAATCATTTTTAACTGCACTCAGTAACGCTCCAGTTACCTGAAAGTATTTAAATCCTCAAATTCCTGATGTAAGAAGGAAGTTGAGTTTATGGACCAACTAGTTGCAAACAAAGATCATGTTCCAGTGGTTCTGGTGGCCAAAGGTGGTTCTAGAACAATAATATGGTTCTATAATGATATATTGAGCAATAATCACCTCATGGCTCTACTGTGCTGATTTAGGGTCTGATCCATTTCAGAATGTTACAGTAGTTCTACAACTCTGTCATGGTACCACAGTTGTTAAAGGTTCTAGAGGGTTTTAAGGTATTTCAGTGAAGGTCGTTGCGCCGATCCTAGAATATCCTAGATACCTGACAATGTTTGATGGTTCTAGAACTTTACGAGAATTCTATTATTTGGACGACACACCATGCTGTTCTAGAATATTATGAGGTTCTGTATGGTCATAGATGCTCTAGAACGGGGAATGAAATCAAATTTTAAGTTATGGAAAATGTCAAGAGGATTTTTATGCTTTTAGAGATTTCTAGAGAATTTCTAAAACATTCTGAGAGTTCTCTAGTGTACATATGAGTTTTAAAAAAGTTCTGGACATTTGTAGAAGGTTTTCAGGATTTCAGTGAAGGTTGTTGCACAGTTTCTAGAACGTTGAAAATAATATGATGCACAAGAATTTTGATGGTTCCAGAATTTCCTGAAAATTCTATAACTTGGATGACGTGCCATGCTGTTCTAGAGCACTGTGAGGCACTGTTCTAGAACAGAGAATAAAAAAATCTTTCAGTGGTGAGAAAATGGCGTTAGGGTTCTTGTGTTTTTGGAGAATTTTGGAGAATTTGTAAAACATTGTCAGGATTCTCTGCTGTATATGTGGGTTCTAAAGAGAGTTTCAAAAACTTTCAGACAATTTCAAAGATGCCTCAGTCGGTAAATACTTCACTGCAATGCTCCAGTTACCTGAAAGTATTGAAATATTCTAGAGTGCTGAAAATCATATGACACCCGAGAGTTTGATGGTTCTACAATTTCATTAGAATTCGTTAATTTGGACGACATGCCGTACTGTTCTAGAATATTATGAGGTTCTAGAATGGAGAATGAAATCAAATTTTAAGTTATGAAAAATGTCAAGAGGGTTTTTATACTTTTAGAGATTTCTAGAGAATTTTAAAACATTCTGAGAGTTCTCTACTGTTTTTTGGGTTTTAAAGAAACTTAGGGAATCACAGAACATTCTGAGAACTTTTAGAGAGTGTTTAGACAATTTTAGAGACGTTTCAGCAAGTAAATACTGGATCACAACAAGTATTTAAATTTTCGAATTAAAATCTTAATGGAAGAAGTTCATGGACAAGTTAGTACTTCCAAACAAAGATCATGATCCAGTGCTTTTGGTAGCTATTAGTAGTTCTAGAACAATATAATGGTTCTTTAATATGGCTCTAAAATGATACACTGTGCAAGAATTGTCTAATGGCTCTTACATGTCCTATGAATAATTTTATGTCCAGTCCATTCTAGAATATTAGGAATCTTGAGATTCCTAGAATGCTGAAAATAATACGATAAATGAGAATGTTTGATGGTTCTAGCATTTCAAGAGAGAATTTGGTCGTCGTGCCATGCTGTTCTAGAGTATTGTGAGGTTCAGTGTAGTTCTGGAGGTTCTAAAATCCCGAGAATATGTTGCTAAAGTTTTTGTGCTTTTAGATAATTTTAGAGAATTTCCAAACTTTCTAAAGTTCCGTAGAAACTTGAGGAATCAGGTCTGAAAGCTTCCAGAGAGTTTTGAGAGTTCTTGAGATTTGAAGTTTGGACTCTATGAATGTTTGGAGAGGTTGAACAATGTTTTTCCTACATTCTGGATTTGCCGAAGAGTCTGGGACTTCTGAGTGTCACGTGTTCTAGAGATGTTTCTGGGAGGCTCTGGAGTTCAAAGGGTCTCAAGAGGTGGTTCTCAATAGTTATAGAGTCTGACGTCTCTACAGGAATATCGAGGAGTTCTAGAAAAGCTAAGCTCCATATCTCAACATGTTTTGTGTTTTGTTCTAGAGCATTCTGAAAGTATGTTTCTCTGCACGTTCCAGTTCTACCGGGATGCAAAGGACTGGTGGCTGTTTGGCTTCTACTTCTGTGTACCTCTGGCCTGTTCTGCCATTTTCTACGGCCTGATGACCTGCGAGATGCTCAGACACCAGAAAGGAAGTCTGAAGATCTCACTGAGTGAACACCTCAAACAGGTAAACACACACACACACTAATGTAAAAGATCAAAGTACCTGCATTCCTGATGCTCGACTTCTGAGAGTAATTTCTCTCTGCAGCGTAGAGAAGTAGCCAAAGCCGTGTTCTGCCTGGTGCTGATCTTTGCTCTGTGCTGGTTTCCACTGCATCTGAGTCGACTTCTGAAGAGGACCGTGTACAAATCCCATGATGCACACCGCTGTGAGCTGTTAAAGTAGGTGGAGAGATACATGCATTAACAAAGGAAACATTCTCACTGATTCATACTTTTACTTAAGTAAAGGATCTGAATTCTTCTTCCATTGATGTTACGTGTTCTTCTTCTGTGGTTACAGTTTCCTGTTGGTGCTTGACTACCTCAGCATCAATATGGCGACCATCAACTCCTGCATCAACCCCATCATCCTCTTCTTTGTCTCCAAGAAGTTCAAAAACTGCTTCAAGGTAAAAACTGAACGTCGCTGTAGTTAGTGGTGATAGTGAATGTCAGTGTGACATCACAACGAGGTCACTAGGTCAGAGGACGTGAGAAACAGACAGAGAGAAAGAAACTAAATCTAAATGTCTTGGGACAGTGAGTGATAAACATAGAAAGGTCGTGACCTTTGATAAAAGACTTGTGGGAAGTGACCAGTGGCATGTCTGTTTAAAGGGGCACTCCACCGACTTCACACATGAAGGTCAGTCTGTCTGCATGTGGAAACAATCTGGGGGAGGCTTTTTAAAGTCTGAGAACACAACCCTGATGATGTCATAGCGATGTCAAAAGGGTTTATCTCGGATGGTGGCTCCAAGATGAGAAAAATTCATAGCAGAAAGGCTGCTTTACAAAGTGGACGTGTGGAGTATGAAAGACGTGAGTGAGGCTCAAAGGAAATTATGTTATTAGTTGTATTGTAAGTAAATTTGGTATTTATGGAGCTTAGGTACGATATATCAGGATAACTCAGCCTCAGTTTTCACCATTCCTTTTAAAAAATGTGTCTCACTCAACTTTACGAAATTAAGACCTTAAGTTACTTGAGTAAAAGTACTAATACGATATTGTAGAAGTACTCCACTACATGTAGAAGTCCTGCATTCAAAACCTTACTGAAGTAAAAGTATGTATGAGCTAAATGTTAAATGTTTAAAGAAAAAGTATTGGTAGTGCAGAAAAATGTTCCCTGACCATGTTTTACTATGATAACTTATGTTTTTGGTTTAATATTGCTGCTGCATTAATGTGTTGCATTTTACTGCTGTGGATGTTTAAGGCTGTGCTAATTTGAACAGCTTCATATACTGTTGGTGGACAGTGTTGCACCCAGGCAAGATGGCTACCAAGCTGCAGACCACCGTTCAAAACCAACAAACAATAACACCAGTTGTGTTTTGGCAAGTCATGGCTTTCAGCAGAGTTTTAAGGCACCAGGGTTGGGTGTTTTGCAGTGACCTGTCAGTGTTTTTTCAGTGGATTTTTATGCACCAAACAAAGGCGTTGTGTACAGTAGCAACCCTTGCTGTTTTTCCAGCAGCTTTTTAGGCACCAAGCATGGGTGTTTGTTTTTTTTAGCAACCTGTCATTGTTTTTCCAGTGGTGTTTTAAACTCCAAGGGAGGGTGTTTTGTCATGACTTGTCACTGTCTTTCCAGCAGCTTTTTAGGCATCAAACTTAGGTGTTTTGTAGCAACCCGTGCGGTCTTGCCAGCAGCTTTTGGGTGGTTTTTTTAGCAACCTGTCATCATTTTTCCAGTGGTGTTTTAAACACCAGTGGTGGGTGTTTTGTTGTGATTCGTCACTGTCTTTCCAGCAGATTTTTAGGCACCAAACGTGGGTGTTTTGTAGCAACCTGTCTGTGGTTTTGCCAGTGGATTTTTAGGCACCAAACGTAGGTAGTAAAACATGCCCTTTCAAGTGCCACACTTGGGTGTTTTGTAGCGACCAGTCACTGTTTTGCCAGTGGATTTTTAGGCACCAAACATAGGTGAGCTGTAGCAACCCAACACTGTTTTTCTAGCAGCTTTTTAGACACCAAGCATGGGTGTTTTTTTTTTAGCAACCTGTCATCATTTTTCCAGTGGTGTTTTAAACACCAGTGGTGGGTGTTTTGTTGTGACTCGTCACTGTCTTTCCAGCAGATTTTTAGGCACCAAACGTGGGTGTTTTGTAGCAACCTGTCTGTGGTTTTCCAGTGGCTTTTAGGCACCAAACATAGGTAGTAAAACATGCTGTTTTTTACAGTGACCCTTTCGCCAAACTTGGGTGTTTTGTAGCGACCAGTCACTGTTTTGCCAGTGGATTTTTAGGCACCAAATGTAGGTGAGCTGTAGCAACCCAACACTGTTTTTCCAGCAGCTTTTTATGCTTCTATGATGTTTTCTGAACCAAAATTGGTGGTGGTTTTTGTGCGGAAACATTAACCACAATGTTGTTGAAATGTTAAGTTTCAGTGCCAGCATTTTTCTGGCGGTTGTGTTGGGCTGTTAAACAAATGTAGAGCAGCAAAAGTCAAACATTGACCTCTGAGATGGAGTGGAACTATAAAGCAGCATAAAATGGAAATACTTAATCAAAGTACAAGTACGTCTAATTTGTACTTAGATACTTGAGTTAATGTACTTAGTTACATTCCACCACTGTCGCTGGAGTACCCCTTTAATCAACCCCCCCCCCTCTGTCTGTCTGTCTGTCTGTCTGTCTGTCTGTCTCTTTCTCTCTTTCTCTCTCTGCAGTCCTGTCTGTGTTGTTGGTGTTATTCTGGCTCTCTCTCCAACAGTACGCTGCCTCTCCACCATGGGACCAGCCTGCAGTACAAACCCACTGACCACTGAGAGAGAGTCTGTGTGTTCATTTGCAACGTCCCACCAGCACCTGAACTCATCACCAACACTCTGAGAGACATTGTTGTGTAACAGATAACCACTATATTGATCCTCTAATCTTCAGTTTGTATCTTTTTACAGTGTATTTATTCAGGTCTAAACATTATATTTTATTGCAGACTAATTACTGTGTGGTGACGTATCGTACACTACAGTGTATGGCCAAAAGTATGTGGACAACATACTGTACACTCTTGTTCTTTTGGTCTGGGGTTGTTTTTCAGGGTTTAGTTCAGCTTTATTTAATTTATTAAAGACCAAAATGGGCAGATACGCAGAAAGCAGTAAGAAATAAGACACAAGCTGAAATAAAATGTGATTTTGGTAAATTGTTAAAAAGTTGCAGTTTTAAGTTAATAAAATAAAGACCAAAATGGGCCCCTGAGCACAGACAAACAGAAGGCCCCACCACCTCTGCTGCACTGAGACGAGACACACTGACATTGTGCTGGTTTTGTCTATTTTTGTTTGTTTGTTTTGTGTCTTTTTTTTAATCTTGTGTCTTCTTGTGGTTGTTTGTCTTGTGGCTTTTTATAAATCATTTTATGTCTCTTTGTGGTCTGCTTGTGTCTCTGTGGTCATTTTGTGACCCACTGTGGTCTGCTTGTGTCTCTGTGGTCATTTTGTGACCCATCGTGGTCTGCTTGTGTCTCCTTGTAGATGTTTTGTGTCCCGTTGTGGTCATTTTGTGTCCTGTTGTGGTCATTTTGTGTCCCGTTGTGGTCTGTTTGTGTCTCCTTGTTGATGTTTTGTGTCTCTTAGTGGTCATTGTGTGTCCCGTTGTGGTCTGTTTGTGTCTCTGTGGTCATTTTGTGTCCCACTGTGATCTGCTTGTGTCTCTGTGGTCATTTTGTGTCCCGCTGTGGTCTATTTGTGTCTCTGTGGTCATTTTGTGTCCCACTGTGATCTGCTTGTGTCTCTGTGGTCATTTTGTGTCCCGCTGTGGTCTGCTTGTGTTTCTGTGGTCATTTTGTGTCCTGCTGTGGTCTATTTGTGTCTCTGTGGTCATTTTGTGTCCCATTGAGGTCTGTTTGTGTCTCTGTGGTCATTTTGTGTCCCATTGTGGTCTATTTGTGTCTCTGTGGTCATTTTGTGTCCCACTGTAATCTGCTTGTGTCTCTGTGGTCATTTTGTGTCCCGTTGTGGTCTGTTTGTGTCTCTTTGTGGTCATTTTGTGTCCCGTTGTGGTCTGCTTGTGTCTCTGTGGTCATTGTGCGAGTAGGTACATGTTAATTTGAGTGACCCTGGGCCTGTGCCTAGCAGGCCTGTTCAGTATTCCATTCATGATCTGATCACCTAACATCAGACCCCACTGATGCTCTTGTGTCTGAGTGAGAGTAACTCCCTGCAGCCTGAGGCCAGAAATGTCAGAGGGTGCCTCAAACAAAAGAGTGGGTGCTGCTATAACAACATTTTAAGGAAACGCTCAGCCATCACATATAGATGTCATGTTTTAGTGTCCACTTACTTTTGGCCATGTAGTGTATTTATTATAGTGTTTAATGTGTAAAATATTTCATTTCAAGTCTACCTGTGCAGAAATAAAACTAGTCAGAGGTTTGAAACAGCACTAGGAGCCCCTGCAGGCTGAACTTTTTATTACATCCCATAATATATGCTTTCAATTTGTGGAGCCTTAGTTACTGGGACTGAAATCTGGTTTGTAGTTTACGAGACATCAACTAATAGTCTGCTATCACCAACTGACTTTGAATTATTGATGAGGTTTGTGTCCATTAAATTATATATCTGTATTTATCAATAAAGCTATATTCTAAAGGCTCGTGCAAACATCTGTTTTGGTTTGCACATGTGTGTATGTGTGTGTGTGTGTGTGTCTGTGTGTGTGTGTGTGTGTGTGTGTGTGAGTGTGAATGTCTCATTTGATTAATTTTCCAGCGCATTGGCCACAATTAAGAGCTGTTGTAAAACACACACACACACACACACACACACACACACACACACAGAGTCATATGGTTTCCAGCTGAAGCTCTTTACACTGTGAACAATGTGAACAAGAGTGTGCGGTCATGCTAACATGCTAACATGCTCCCCGTGGAAACGCTAACATGCTGATAGGCTGTGGATGTAAATTACAGCTGAGGTTCTTGCGTGTGTTTTTGTTTTTGGCAGGCTATTTGATGCTAATACTTGTGTACATTCACTTAAACCAGAGGTCGGCAAAACTAAACTAAAATAAATAAAGAAGAAATAGCTGTTCTTAACATTCTTATTTTCGTCTACCAGCATTCCTTCACTTTCTCCACCATTTGGACTCCAAAGTCAAAAAAGTATGCTTTGTGGTTCCACAGATTTTTTTTGTACTTTTCTTTTTTTCTTTGGCTAAATGGCTCTTTTAATCATTGAGGTTGCCGACCCCTGACCTCACCTGTTCAGATCCCCCGTCCACGCTAATGGACCGAACCTTTCCAGGATGTCTACATCTATGATTACCGTCATCTGATGGATGTCTACAAACCAGTCCGACTTCTAAAGTGAAAGAGGAAGTGCAAGTTGTCACGTTGTTAAAGTGCATCATTTGTGTTGAATAAACTGTGTTTTGTAAACTATTGTTGAGTGTATTTAGAGGAAGGAAAATTAAAATATTTGTGTGTCTTTGTGTGTCTGGAACATAATTGGGATTATAAACACCTTAATATATACAGCACTTTTCTTAGTGCTACAAAGTGCGCTTCACAAAAAAAAAAAAACCCCGCCTGCAGATATGAACCTTTACTTACCTATCATTACTTATTAAAGAGTATTTTTTATTGTACTGTGGTTTTGCTACTTTTACTCAAGTAAAATATCCACCACTGACATCAAGGCCCCGTAAATCTTTGTTTATTTTTATTTTATTTTTTACTTTTTACTCTTAGTTTAATTTTTTAAACTTTACTTTACTTTTATTTTATTTATTTATTTATCAATTAATTTATTTATTTTTGATGTATTCACTGTTGCATTGAAATACATCTTTCATGTTTAATTATCTATTTATGTTGCAGTGATTCAAACCTACAGTTGTATTTTATTTTATTTTACAACTTTATTTTAATTTATTTATTTTTGGTGTATTCAGTGTTGCATTTAGATAAATATTTCCGGTTTAATTATTTATTTATGATGCAGGGCTCAAGGCCTGCAATTATATTTTATTTTATTTTATCTTATTTAATTTTCCTTTATTTTATTTTCCTTTATTTTATTTATTTATTTTTGGTGTATTCAGTGTTGCATTGAAATAAATCTTTCCTGCTTAATTATTTATTTATGATGCAGGGATTTAGACCTGCAATTTTATTTTATTTTATTTTAATTTAATTTATTTTATTTTTACTTTATTTTATGTATTTGTTTTTGTTGTATTCAGTGTTGCATTGAAATAAATCTTTCCTGCTTAATTATTTATTTATAATGCAGGGATTCAGACCTGCAATTTTATTTTATCTTATTTTACTTTGTTTTATTTACTTTATTTTTACTTTATTTTAATTTATTTATTTTTGTTGTATTCAGTTTTGCATTGAAATAAATCTTTCCTGTTTAATTATTTATTTATGTTCCTGGGGTTTAGGCCTTTAAAAGCACAACATATAAATAGCCATAAAGATGAATGAATAAATAAAGACGGGATGCCGATTAAAATATCTTTGAATTAAGATGATTAGATTTGGAGGCTGTTTCCTGTCAGCCACGTGACTGATGGAGAGAAACGGTTTGACATCCCTCCTCGTGACGCGGCGCGTAAACAACGGGAACAGGGAGGACAAACACGGACTGCTGCTGCTGCTGCTGCTGCTGCAGAGTGAAGCCGTCGGTTGTGTCACCGACCACCGGCAGATACCGGATTAACGGATCGATCAGGGTGATCGGGGTGATCGGGGTGGTGGTCTGAGCGGCGGGGCGGAGGAGGGGATGCGTTGCCTGGTAACAGAAGCAGGACTGAAGAGGAAAACAGGCCGACCGTCACTCTTCATCATGAACATCCTCATCTTCAACGGTCCGAGTCGTTCCATGTTCAACCTCAGGTCATGTTTATCACGTGTTTTATCTCTGCAGCTGCCTGTGCTCACTGTGCACTCCATCATTTATAATTGTAGCCGAAATATACATAAATATTCCTGTAATACTTGTCTGTGGTCGCGTTTAATGCTTCATAGTGACCTCATTGCATTTACACTGGTCATGTAGAGAAGTTTAATATGTTATGACATTGTTAATGTCCATTGTGTTGGAATATTACTATAAAAAACTTTATTAAAATATGCCTCCGGATCAAAACATTCAGTTTAATCCAACTCATAGTTCATATTTAGACTTTAATAATGAAATATAACTGAACTGTTGAACCAAAAGTGTATTAAATTAATATTCCTCCTGCTACCTGCTACAAAAACTTGACTTTAATGGATGAAAAATGAGCGAAAAATATTTTTAAAGGGTTATTTCACATATATGTGCTGCTATGTGATTTGGTAGTCATGATCAGTAAAGTATTTTTAACAAATATTCCAATACATTTTGTTTAATTTAATGGAGACAATCTGTAACTTTACATCAGCTAGCTCGTGATGTGGCTAGCTAATGTTAGCTTTTCAGTTAGCTTACACCTTGACCAGGTGACCACAGAATATTTAATATAATATTATTAAATACATATGTGTTTTCTAATTCATGTTTAAGAGATATTTATGATCAGTAAATCATGTCAGTGCAGTGGGGGAGACAGCGGTGGAAGACGTTATCGGCTAACTGAAATGTTAGTGCAAATGTGCATTCAATTAACTTTCTGTTATTTCACATATGTGTTACTATATGCTTTTGTAGTCATGATCAGTATTTTTAATATAGGCCTGAATTCCAGTAAATTTTGTTTATTTAAATGGAGACAAGCAGTAACTCTACATTTGCTAGCTCGTGATGTGGCTAGCTAACATTAGCTTTTCAGTTAGCTTCCACCTTGAGCAGGTGACCACAGAATATTTAATAGAATATTTTTCAATATATTTTTTAAATTTATATGTGAGAGATATTTTTATGATCAGTAAATCATGTCAGTGCAGTGGGGGAGACAGCGGTGGAAGAAGTTATCGGCTAACTGAAATGTTAGCGTAAATGTGCATTCAATTAACCTTCTTACTGCTAGAAATATTTAACAGTAATGGATGAAAAAAGTGATAATGTTTTTACAGTGTGTAATTTCACATATAAGTGTTACTATATGATTTTGTAGTCATGATCAGTAAAGTATTTTTAGTATAGGCCTGTATTCCAGTAAATTTTGTTTATTTAAATGGAGACAAGTAACTTTACATTTGCTAGCTTGTGACGTAGCTAGCTAACATTAGCTTTTCAGTTAGCTTCCACAGAATAGAATATTTATTAAAATATATATTTTCTAAATTTGTATGTGAGAGATATTTTTATGATCAGTAAATTATCTCAGTGCAGTTGGGGAGACAGCAATGGAAGAAGTTATCGGCTAACTGAAATGTTTGCGCAAAAGTGTATTTAATTAACCTTCTTGCTGTCAGAAATATTCAACTTTAATGGATGAAAAAAAGTGATAAATTATAATTGTTATTTCACATATGTGTTACTATGTGATATTGCAGTAATGGTCAGTAAAGTATTTTTAACATATTTTCCAGTAAAGTTTGTGTATTTGAACGGAGGCGATCTGTAACTTCGAATAGTCGAATATTTCTATGCTAAAAATCATTAGCTAGCTACATCACAAGCTAGCTAATGTTTTTTAGCATAGAAATATTCTACTTTAATGGATGAAAAATGAGGGATAAACACTTTTAAGATATATTTTTTACATTATGTTTTTCTATGTGAACATGAGGACATTTCAGTATTTTATAATCCACTAAATTCATCAGGGAATCAGTAACATTAGCTGTGATGTAGCTAGCTGACGTAAGCTTCTCAACAGTTAGCGCCCACCTTGACCGCTGACTGGAAAATATTATAAAGATTGTTTGACAGAATAAAAAATATAAAGCTGTGTTTAGTTAGCTAATTTGTGCTAACACTGCTAGAATTCCTTAAACTCTCCCACAACTGCCGAACAGTGACATTTAATTCATTTTCAGTAATTTAATTACACTTGTGTTCAACAAAACACGGTCTTATTGTTGCTGGATTGTGCACCTTGTTGAAGTTATGAGAACCGGAAGTTAAAAGGAGAGAACTGCCTCGTTGTACCTGCTTCCCGTTTCCCTCCAATAACCGAATTGGTTTTTTCTCCCCAGGTGTAGCTCAGTGGTTTAGGATGCGCCTGTAGTCGTCACTGAGGGTGAAGCAGCCGTCATGCCGTGTTCGTGTGCAGAGTGGAGGAGGTGGATCCGTCCGCTGGTTCTGGTTTTATACGCTCTTCTGCTGGTCGCCGTGCTGCCGCTCTGCATCTGGGAGCTGCAGAAAGACAAGGTACACTTTCCTTTTTTATCACCTCACCATAATTTTGGTCCAAAGTTGTATAATTGCCTAGAGTTGGTTCATGTTCTCACGGCAGCATTTACACGAGGACCAGATCAAATGCCTTGTGTGAGAAAACTGTTTTTGATTGGTCAGAACAATCGTTTGTAACCGGACCGAGACCATCTCTTCAAGAAGGTCTCAATCTGGTTGTTTTGGTGCACACCTGAGTGTGACTGCTGTGATCACACCTGCCCAGACGAACCACACAGAGTGGGCAAACCAACCTGAGTTCTATTGAAAATCATTACACACGTGCACTCCATTTAACGTCTTACCATAGTGCCGTCTGCTGTAACCCTCCAACATCGCAGCTCCAGTTACACTGTGCATGTGTCATTCCTGTAACTCCCATGGGGTTTAAGTGTATGTCCCAGCCTCCTTTGAATAGCCTTGCCCAAAAGTAATACCATCTTGATCGCCCTCTGCTGGCCGGCTGCAGTATTGGTCATAAACCCCGCCTCTCCATGTTAGCAGATGGGATTTGGGCCAAACTAAAAACTCAAAGTACACGTCAAATCATTTTTCGCAAAGATGGTTTCTGTCTTGGTGTTGTTGCTTGTGATTGGTTGCACAGGTAGGAAATGCACACCCTGCAGATCGCTACTGCGCAGACTCCAGGAAACTTGGGAATATTTTCCTCATAAAGATCTAAGAAGGGAACAAGATGTGCTGAGGATAAAAGAAATCATCTGTCATCTCTCTCCGTGTCTCTGCAGGTTGGGACTCACAGTAAAGCCTGGTTCATAGCCGGCGTGTTCGTCTTCCTGACCATCCCAATTTCACTGTGGGGGATCCTGCAGCACATCGTGCACTACACCCAGCCTGAGCTGCAGAGGCCCATCATCAGGTGAACACACACCTTGAACTTTGCTTTAAAGGAACAGTGTGGCAGATTTAGGGGGATTTACACAAACACAGCAGTTCAATAGTGAGCGATGGTTTTGAGAGGCGGCAGGCAGAGAGCGTGTCAGGAGAGCTGAGGTTTGAACACCACGAGAACTCACTGAGGAAACAGTTTCTCTGATGCGAAGCCGGCTGTGGATGGAGGAGAGCCTGACAGCAGCGATGAAACATGGAATCTGCAGCACGCACTCAAAGGCGTAGTATGCAGCTGCACAGCAAAGCAATCCACAGCTAAGAGGATCACAGGTGACTGAACCAGTAAACTCACTTTGGGAAGTTGGGTGACGGTCTTTCCAGACAGCTGCGGGAAACAGGCAAACAGGAACCAGGAGGGCAGAAGCAGAGCTCGTGGTCGAAAACAGGAGGCAGAGTGGTTTACTGGGGAGCAGACGAAGCAGGTTTGTCCATTCTGGGCTACTGTAGAAACATGGCAATGTCGGTAGATGAGGACTCACTTCCTATGTGCATACACATGTCTCATTCTAAGGTAACAAAAAACACAGATTCTTATTTCACGGTGAATATACATGAAAGAAAACACACTTATTATATTATATTCCATTCCTGCCCCCTGAACCCTTCACACTGGAGCTTTAAAGGAATAGTTCGCCTAAAATAAGCTCCTGGAAGAAGATCAGCTCTGCACTCAGGATTTCAGTAAACAGGCGATCGTACATTGCTTGTTAAGTTTGCTTAGCAACCTCAGACGCCACGCTTCTGAAAGCTGGCACAAAAAGGCACAGAAGTAGAGCCAAGAGCCCGACCTCGTGTGTTCCAGGCAGTGTGTACGGCCCCTTGAACATCTGAGGACAGCTGTGGGGCTGTTTGGTTTGAACTCATCACAGATATTCATTTTTCCAGGACTTTAACTTTGATTGTTGCTCATTTAGTCAAACTGTCAAACACACACACACACACAGTGTTGTGATGAAACTGTTCTCCGTCTCTCTCCCCCAGAATACTATGGATGGTGCCGATCTACAGTTTGGACAGTGTGAGTCATCATCACACACACACACACACACACACACACACACACACATACACACACACACACACACACAGAAGAAGTGACAGTGATCTGTCCACTCTATTACATTACGTTGCCGTGGTAACGGATCTTAATTAGAGGCAGCGGGACGGAGTCACAAGACCAGAGGTCACATTAAACAGGGAGAGTTAACCCTGTGTATGTGTGTGTGTGTCAGCAGCATTAATGACTGCATCTTAGCATTCCTTCCTCTCCTTCCTACTTTCCTCCTTCCCTTTTTCCTTCCTCTCTTCTTTCGGACTTTGTTTCTCTCCTCCTTTCTTCCTTCATCCCATTTCTTACCACATTTCCTCTTTTCTTACTTTATTTCTTCCGTCCTTCTTCCCCTCATTTCCTCTTTCTGTCTCCCTCCCTCATTCCTCCCTTTTCTTCCCTTCTTTTTAAACCCCTCCCTTTGTATCTTTCCTTTCTTCCTTCCTTTCTTCCTCCCTCCTTCACTTTCTTACTGTATTTCTTTCTGTCTTTGTCTTTCCTTTTCCCTCACTCCCTTCCTCTCTTTTTCGCTTCAGTCCTGCATTTCTTACTGTATTTCATCTATTCTTCCTTCCTTCCTTCCTTCCTTCATTCATTCTCTCTCTCTCTCTCTCTCTCCCCCCTCTCCTTCCTTCCTTACTCTTTCTCCTTCCTTCCTTCCTTCCTTCCTTCCTTCCCTCTCTCTCTTCTCACTCACTCTCTCTCCCTCTCTCCTTCCTTCCTTCCTTCCTTTCTTCCTCAGTCTCTCTCCCTTTCTTTCCATCCTTCCTTCCTTCTTCCCTTCCTTCCTTCCTTCCTTCTTTCCTTCCTCTCTCTCGCTCTCTCTCTCGCTCTCTCTGTCTCTATCTCTCTCCCTTCCTCCTTTCTTTCTTTCTTTCTTTCTTTCTTCCTTCCTTCCTTCCTTCTTTCCCTCCTCCTTCATTTCATCTCTCCTTTGTCCATTCTCCCTTCCTCTCCTTCCTTCTACCCTTCCCTCTCTCTTCTTTCCTTCTTTCTTTATTCTTTCCCTCCTTCTTCCATCCCCCTTCTTCATTCCTTCTTCCCTCCCACCCTTCCCTTTCTTTATTTCTTTTTTCCTTCCTTCCTTCCTTCCTTCCTTCCTCCTCTTACTTACTTTTCTCCTTCCTTTCTTTCACGTGACTTGCAATAATCTTTAATCAGTGTTTTATCATCATGTTTATGCATAAAAACTAATTCATCTGTCTCCCCTCCGTCTCCCCTCCGTCTCCCCTCTGTCTCCCCTCTGTCTCCTGTCTGTCTCCCCTCTGTCTCCCCTCTGTCTCCCCTCCATCTCCCGTCTATCTCCCGTCTGTCTCCCCTCTGTCTCCCGTCTGTCTCCCCTCTGTCTCCCCTCTGTCTCCCGTCTGTCTCCCGTCTGTCTCCAGTGGCTGGCTCTGCGGTATCCCAGTCTGGCCATCTACGTGGACACGTGCAGAGAGTGCTATGAGGCCTACGTCATCTACAACTTCCTGGTGTTCCTGCTGAACTTCCTCAGTAACCAGTACCCCAGTCTGGTGCTCATGCTGGAGGTCCAGCAGCAGCAGCCACACCTGCCTCCGCTGTGCTGCTGCCCGCCGTGGCCCATGGGAGAGTAAGAGGAGGGCGGGTGTGAGGTCACTGTGTGATGGACGTGTGGGTGGATGTTAAACTGTTCCTCTCTGTCTCTCTCTCTCTCTCTCTCTGTCAGGGTGCTGCTGTTCCGGTGTAAACTGGGAGTCCTCCAGTACACCGTGGTCAGACCCGTAACCACGGTGATAGCGCTGTAAGTTTGCTGTTGTTGCCACGGTAACGGCGCCATCAGTTTCAACCTGTAACCACAGAGGAAGTGACAACGTTGTTAGTGGTTTTCTGTAGGTGCTGTGATGGTGTTTTCACGCTGTGCCATTTGTAACACTGTATGCTGGCGACACACTTAGCTCAGCTGCTAACTGTAACCATGGTAACCGCCCCATTCATACTGTCGTCACATCAGCTCCCTGACAGCAGCTACATGCTGTGTTTAAAGAGTCAAAGCTCATGATGTCACGCTGAATAAACCAAACTCACCAGAGGAACAGTACCAGCAATAACAAACATGTGATGGTTAAAGTGATCAGCATCGTGACTGATCTACACACTTGAAATACTGTGTCCTATTTTTGGGGGGAAACGTTACATAATGTGAGAACACGTTTCCCTCTGTGTCTGCAGGATCTGTCAGCTGTGTGGAGTTTACGATGAAGCCAACTTCAGCTTCAGAAACGCCTGGTCCTACCTGGTTATCATCAACAACATATCACAGCTGGTAAACACACATCACATACAGAGTCCTTACTTTGATTCTCCTGCACTCAAGACTCACAGAAGCCTCATTTCCACTAAACACAGACAGACATGGTACCTAGACCCTAATGTTTCCACCACAGACAGTCCCCTTAAATGTGGGCGTGGTTGTTCTCACTCACTGCTGTTGGGCAGTTAATAATATTACTTTTTCCAGTAATGAGTAGTGTAACTAATTACTAATGAACAACTCATTACGTTGCTTTGTTATCACATCACTGCTCTTAGCTGTGCACATGCTTTGTCAAATTTTACCCTTTTTTCTGTTGCATGATGGGATTTCTGAGAACACATGTTTCACAGTTGGAAATCAGACACAGTTTGGGGATGAAACACTGTATGTTCTGGTGACACTGGTGTTTACCTCTCTGTCTCTCTTCAGTTTGCGATGTACTGTCTGGTGTTGCTGTACCGAGCTCTCAAAGAGGAGCTGACTCCCATCAGGCCGGTGGGAAAGTTCCTCTGCGTCAAACTGGTGGTGTTCGTGTCCTTCTGGTAAGGAGAGTCAAGAGAGAGTCATTCGCTGCTGTTGCTGTAAAACCAGTATCATTTTATGAAGTAAACAGTTAATCAACACATCAAGGGAATAATCAATGATCAATCATGTAGACAACTGTTTTGTTGCAGCCTTAGTGCTGATATTTTTATCTCGTTCTTCCTCTCTTCAGGCAGGCAGTTTTAATAGCGTTCCTGGTGAAGGTCGGTGTGATCTCTGATAAACACACCTGGGACTGGGACAGTGTGGAGGCTGTGGCTACGGGACTGCAGGTACACACATTTATAAACAAATAAAACCATGTTCCTACATCACGGTCATATGACCTTCAACATGATCTGAATAAAGTTTGTCATTCATTTTTATTTGCAATGTTAGTGCCAAATGAGTTAATGTTTCTCAGAGCGGAAACACAGACAAAGAAACATCTGTTGATGGATTTATTCTATATTGTCTTAGATGTGTTGAAGCCACAGCTGTGGAACTGTCTGTTCTCTTGTACCGTCATATTTAGACCCTTGAAAGTCTGAGAGTCTACAAAAGACAAAAATGTGGCTTCTGATTAGGAAGAACCAGGATACTGACATGCAAGAAGACCTATCTATTTGACTTAAATCAGATTCTTGATTAACCAACTGTTTAATGGATACAGGACTTCATCATCTGCATAGAGATGTTCCTGGCTGCCATTGCTCACCACTACACCTTCACCTACAAACCATACGTACAGGTAAACACCGACCGACCGACCGACCACCTACCTTCCTTGTTCCCCCCCTTTCCTTCCTACCCACCTATCTGCCTGCCTACCTACCTACCTACCTTCCTTGTTACCTACCTGCCTACCTGCCTGCCTACCTACCGTCCTTCCTACCTACCTATGTACCTACCTACCTACCAACCGACCGATCTACCTATCTCTTTATCGACCTACCTACCTACCTACCTACCTACCTCTTTATCGACCTACCTACCTACCTACCTACGTATCTCTTTATCGACCTACCTTCCTATGTACCTATCTCTTTATCGACCGACCTACCTACCTACCTACCTACGTATCTCTTTATCGACCTACCTACCTACCTACCTACCTACCTATCTCTTTATCAACCGACCTACCTACCTACCTACCTACCTACCTATCTCTTTATCGACCTACCTTCCTATGTACCTATCTCTTTATCGACCGACCTACCTACCTACCTACCTACCTATCTCTTTATCGACCTACCTACCTACCTACCTACCTACCTACGTATCTCTTTATCGACCTACCTACCTACCTACCTACCTACCTACCTACGTATCTCTTTATCGACCTACCTACCTACCTACCTACCTACCTACCTACCTATCTCTTTATCGACCTACCTACCTTCCTTCCTTCTTACCTACCTTCTTTGCTACCTACCTTCCTTCCTACCTACCTGTGTACCTTCCTTCCTACCTACCTACCTAGAGCTTAGATCGGGCCCAAAAAATCCAGCCCGACCCCACCCGAGCCCGTGCATGTTCAGTCTGAGCCCGGCCCGGCCTGTCCCTTTAACTGTAATTGCAAGCCCAAGCCCGGTTTAAACCCGACATTTTTTTTAAGGATGCGAACACGGACGTTGAAGGCTGACACTCGTCTTTCTTCCCATGGCAAGCCTTCGTCATGTGCCTCTTAAGTGTCGAGGTCCCCGTCTTTTTGCTGTCATATACCAGCATTGTGCAGCGCTTGGGACACTCAACGAAGCCGACACACTTGTCGTCATCGTCGACAACTCACATGTGTGCACAGCCAGTGGCGTGGTCAAGGGGGGGCCGCGGCCCCACCCCCCAGGTGTGATAAGTAGTTGGGTCGGGTTGGGTTCAGGTCGGGTTCAGGCTCGGGCAGAGAATCTAAGCTCTACTACCTACCTTCTTTGATACCTACCTTCCTACCTATCTATTTCTTTATCTATCGACCTATCTACCTACCACCTACCTACCTACTTTCCAACCTACTTACCTACCTATCTATCTCTTTATCTATCGACCTGCCTACCTACCTACTTTCCAACCTACCTACCTACCTATCTCTTTATCTATTGACCGACCTACCTACCTACCTACCTACCTATCTACCTACTTTCCAACCTACCTACCTACCTATCTATCTAATCTAATCTAATTCAGGAAGCTGAGGAGGGGTCATGCTTCGACAGCTTTCTGGCCATGTGGGATTTCTCTGACATCAGAGCTGATGTCACAGAGCAGGTCCGCCATGCTGGTGAGTGTCTCAATCAGAATAATGATTATCAATTCTGTTTAACTCATCAATAATGAATAATGTGAACAAATAACTTCAGAAATGTATGTCAAGTACATTTTGTACCCCATTCTTCTGTTATTTTTTTCATATTCATGTTTTACTCATTAACGCATTTGTTTATCGGCCCACAGCTGAGACAAGAATTAGCTGCTAGCTATCCTGTTGTCCCTCCGCCTCGATCTCTGTAGTTGTGGACTGCTTCCCTGGGAGGAGAGCGGGCAGCAGCTCAGGAGACAAACCTTTGATCGGCGGCTGTAGTGGCTTAAATTTGGCTAATGCAAACCCCACATTAATTTAAACTTATCAGATAAATGTAGTGGAGTAAATAGTACAGTATTTCCCTCTGAGATGAAGCGTAGAGGAAGACCATGGCTTAAAAATACCCCAAATTTACACAAATACAATACTTGAGTAAATTTACTTTGTTACATTCCACCACGTTAGGATTCACACTGCTTGAAATGATAATAAGATGGTAAATATCTCTCACCGCCCCTCAGGTCGTACGTTCCTTGGTCGTCCCAATAAGATGTACTTCGGTGCGGCAGCTCGACCCGAACACACGGAGCACACCGGCCTCCTCACGGCCTCCTCCCAGGACGCCATCGCCGTGGCAGCCACATCGATGCCCTCCTCCCCTTCCTTGAGCGGGCGGTACCAAGGCCTCGGCCATACCCCCGCCCCGCACTCCATCTCCGCCCCTGCAGGGTTCACCTCCTCGTCCTGGGACAACGACAGCGACGGCTCCCCTCCTGAGGCACGTGACAGCACAGGAAGCACATAGCCAGGGGCAGGAACTCCTCTCTTTGCGTCCTTCGTCCTCTTGTTTCGATGTGGCTACGAACAAAGACACTCAGATTCTGTGTTATAGTCAGAATAAAAAAAGAAACTTGTCTACAGATTTGTGAAAGAGAAGCGAAGTCTCATATGGATTTTAATCGAAGAAAAGCAGAGAAAGAGTCTCTGATGTCAAAGCCATGTTTGTGGAGTATTTTTAAAATAATCATCTGGTTTTAAATGTTTAAAATCTGTATTTTATGTCTAATGATGTCATTTTGATAGATGTGTCTGCAGCTGTTGAGAGGAAAACATTTGATGTTTTCATCAGAGTGAAGGCAGGTTGTTCTCTTGGTTTATTCTCCCAAGGTGCTGAAGTGTCCTTGAGCTGAGTTTGACAGTTTGTTCTGATTCATAATAAATTAACATGCCATATCTAACCATCAGAAACTGTGTTGCTATTGTTAGTGTTAATCTTATTCCTCCAAACTTAGGAGAAGTCTCCAACAGCAGCCCTCTGAGGACGAGAGAACCAAGAGATAAACTTACCATACCAACCACAGACTGTCTGGAGAGACATTTATAGGCATGGATTTTTGGATTAACTGCTTGCCGTCCAGACAACCCAAATTCAGGGCAACACAGGACAGAACAGAGGTGGACCAAACCTGCAGCAACCAATAAATATAAAGCTACAGTTGGTGACTTTTATGAAAATAACCTTGTGTCATATTTTCTATTATCTTATCAAATATGAATCAAGATTCTATAACTGTATTGTCTGAGGAAGTTTGTTCCGGAGAGTAGGTGTTGCTTGGGTTTTACTTCACTGTTTCCAACATGGCGGCCGGGTAACAAACTTTGTGATTTACAGCTAAACAGACACTAAAATATGTTTCTGGAAACATCTGAGGCGAGAAAAGGGCATTGCAGTAACAGAATCTTGATGCATGTTTGCTCAGTTCTGCCCAGTTTGACCGCAGCAGTGATTGACATAGCTGCGCTGTGATTGGTTGTTTTCGGTGTGCCGTGGTAGAATCCAGTGAAGACTATTAGGGGCAGAAGGAGAAGAGGAGGGACGATAATTTTATGCCTTCGTGCCGGCGATAGCCATGACCGGAGGCATTATGTTGACAGGTTGTCCATCCGTCCCATCCTTGTAAACACGATTAAGAATGCCTCAAGGGAATTTCTTCAAATTTGGCACAAATGTCCACTTGGACACAATGAACGGATTAGATTTTGGTGGTCATAGGTCAAAGGTCAAGGTCACTGTGACCTTGTCTGTCTCATTCTTGTGAACTTGATATCACAAGAATACCTTGAGGGAATTTCTTCAAATGTGGCACAAACGTTCACTTGGACTCAACAAAACACTGATTGGATTCAGTGGTCAAAGGTCAAAAATCACTGTGACCTTGCATCTGTCTCATTCTCATGAACGTGATATCTCAAAAACATCTTAAGGGAATTTTTTAAAAATCTGACACAAACGTACACTTGGACTGAAGAAAACGAATTGGAATTTTGTGGTTGACGGTCAAAGGTCAAAGGTCAGTGTGACCTCACAAAATATGTTTTTGACCATAACTCAAGAATTGATATGCTAATTATGACAAAACTTCACACAAATGTCTCACAGGATAAAATGATCATGTGATGACATTTTTTATCCAAAACGTGTGTGTGTGCTCGCGAACATGCATGCGGCTCTGGTCTGAGAGGCTACAGTTGACATTTAGGCTAAAAACATGGTGTCGTTTCAGGTTGAAGTTGATGGTCGTGGCTTACGGACATTTGGATTATACCACGCGAGCAGTAAGGAGACATTTTGTGATTTTTTTGTGTTCTTCTTTTACATGTTAATACTGGTCACCGTTCACTTTTCCGCTGAAACTCCAGGAGTGTTTTGTGAACTGGAGATCTTCACCCATCCTCACATTAGCACAGGGGGGAGGAGATATTGAGTGAATTTTCATTTTTGGGTGAACTATTGCTTTAAACTTGCAATACAAAAAAAGCCCATAATATTAAGGCCAAATAAAAATCAATTCAACTGACATCAAAAGTGTTTTTATATAAATATGTCTGTTTTCTAATTTCCTTCAGACAGCTGAAAAAAAAGTTCAGCAGAAAGAAGCGTCAGTCTGATCATAACCAGCTGTTTTGAATGTTTCAGTTAAGTGATCCTGTTACTCCGCACCCTGGCTCCACATCCACACACTCTATACTACTGTGAACATTTTTCTCCACTAGGTGGCACAAAGGGTCCATTAAAAGTCATCAGGATCTCCAACAAGTCTGAAAACATCATGTGCTGAGGTTTGGGAAACAGAATTTCGGGAAACGGAGGTTTGGGAAACAGAAGTTTGGGAAATGGAGGTTTGGGAAACAGAAGTTTTGGGAACGAAGGTTTGGGAAACTGAAGTTTGGGAAATGGAGGTTTGGGAAACAGAAGTTTTGGGAACGAAGGTTTGGGAAACTGAAGTTTGGGAAATGGAGGTTTGGGAAACAGAAGTTTTGGGAACGCAGGTTTGGGAAACAGATGTTTAGATTACAAAAGCAAGTGTGAAACAAAAGTAAAGCATGGTGTACAGTAGGTCAAGATCTACCAGGATTTGGTTGATAAAGTCTAGTGTTCACTTCTCTGCTGACCTCAAAGCCCGCTGTAAACCATTTCAAGGAAACATATTCAACCTGAAAACCGTAGCAAAACACTTTGCACTGGTTTGATATTGAACATACCCCTGGAATTTTCTTAGTCTTTTTGTGTGTTCAGTCAGACTGCAGTGAACAACACACTACAACACATAAAACCAATGTTAGATTAATTCCCCTTTTCATTTTTACATGCGAGTAGAATATGTAGATATTTTAAGAGACTCGTGGCTCTTCAGCAATAACTCATGATGAACTTAAATGTGACCCAGTGTAACCATCATGTGGAGTTTGACTGTGGCTCTCAATGTACTGACACAGAAATAGCAGTTACAGCTCAAAACAAGGACAACACGGCCCACAATGACAAACAAAGGTCCACATAAACAGAGAATGTATAAGCACACACAAACGAGTGGAGAAATATACTACACATATACATACATACATATATATATATAGCCTATCCTCCTGAGACCCTGTGTCCTCATATGAGGACACCACATTTTGGGTTTACTTGACCCTTATACTTCATTGTACTTAACTCAGACCTGTTGTCCTCGTTCGTGGACAATTTTTCTGTGGTAGTAAGAGCACATTACACTGATCCATGTAGAAACAAGATGGCAGCCATCTCTGCCAAGTCAGTCTGCAGCCGATCCCAACACAAAAGTAGACAAGGTCCGAAACCTGATCAAATCTAATTGTTGAAACTTGTTTATTTATGATTAATATTGTTTGTAGTTTGATATGGCAACAAATTTGACCAACTTTAGCAACAGTGACAAGCTGAGACACTGTTACCCAGCAAGTACTTGTTTGAGGACATTGGGACTTTATTATCGTCTCATTTGAGGACATTGGGACTTTATTGTCGTCTCGTTTGAGGACACTGGGAAGTTATTGTTGTCTCGTTTGAGGACATTGGGACTTTATTGTTGTCTCGATTGAGGACATTGGGACTTTATTGTCATCTTTATTGTCAGCTAAAGCTGCAGGTTTGAAACTGAACTCCATCAGTAATAATCATCAGGAGCTGTGTGACTCTGTTAGAGTCCAAACTGACCCTGTGAACCTGCTGTGTGTCATCAGTGTGTGACGGTGATATCTGGAGTTTATTTTGAAGGGGGAGGGGAGGTGCATCGAAACCGAAAGTAACCGAAAAAGAACTGACGGGTACTTTCAACATCTATTACAGCTGCGTGTTATCGACTGTGACCCGATACAGCCAGAGAAGAGACTTTGGATCCGCAGCTCCATGAGGAGCAAACGCCTTGAAGCCTTTCAGGTGAGTGTCGGTGCATGAACCTGTGAACATGTGTGTCTGCATGTCTGAATCAGACCAGCTGATCGGTTCGTGGTCTCTGCTGGAAGTGCGCACTTTGGTGTCAGTCTCAGCCGACATGTTGTTTGTGCAGAGGGAGAAGTGGAGTGCGCAGCTGAGTCCAGAGCGCACAAGAGTTTCTGCAAACTTTGACCTCAAACGGATTCAAATGACGACATCAAATATATAAGTAGACAGTTTTTAATGTGAGGAGCTGATATGAAATGTGAAAACAGGAGATGATGCCTGTTTGTTATTTATAGTGTTGAAAAGAACTGCGTCACTCATGCGCAGCAGCATGTTTTTCCATATACTTGCTGTTATTATTTCGACCACCAGGCGACGCCAAAGGGTCTGCTAACATTAAATGAAGCGGAGCTGCGTCAAATATTCTGTATATTTATTATCATAACACACGTGTCTGTTTGATGCTGCTCAGGCCTCGTGTAAATAAATTCAAATGAAACTTTATCAGTAGTAAAACTCAGCACCAGCAATATTGAAAACTATTTAAAGTAAAAATAATAATAAAAAAGGCTTTGAGGAATCTGATTAAAGGAATATGAAATATTTTGTAGTACCTACAGCTGCTATTCTGTTTGATGGTAAACAAATAGATTGTTTTCACCAGCTAAATAATGCCATTATGATAAAACATTATTAGTAAAGCACAAGTAAAATTCAGCTCCAGGTGCTGAACATTAAAGAGTTAAAACATGACAGGGAAGTGAAATAATAAAGGAATTATTAGTCGAAATAAAACAAGAAACAATCAAAACAAAATAAATATGTGAAGTAAACCAGGGAAGTGTCTTTTATTAAAAAAAAAGTCAAATAAACAAACGAAAATATTTATATATTTTTTTACTTAGTTGCTAAAAAAATACAAGTCCTAAAGATCTTTGCATGAGATCGATCGTATCAGGGGAATATAAGACAGAAAAAAGGGGAGGAATCTGATTAAAGATTGTTATTCTGATGTTCAGTTTACTGACAATTTGTTCTTTTTACTAACTAATGTCTCTTTTAATCTTCAGGTTTTTTAAATTTCCTTTAACTAATGAGCTTCTCCCACTCATGTGCACTCTGATTTCCACACACTCGTTCTTATAATTTTTCTCCACTAGGTGACACTAACCGTCCAGTAGTGCAGCATGTTGGCGCTGCGGTTTAATCTAATGACACACACACTGTAACAGAGAGCCTGATCTGATGAGTGTTATTAGAGTTTGTCTCCACTTGAGTCTCTATAAAAGGGATCTTTAGAGATTGTTTGAGTACACAACGTCACAAAGCTGCTGAGATAAAGTGAACACAGTCCAACTGATAATCAACAACCTGTTTGAAACAGGAAGGAGGACGTTGAGACTGACTTCCTCTTTTTTGTCTGTTTGTTTCACAGCCTGCCCATCTGAGCTCTCACAAACGAGCAGCCACAGAACACTGAACAAGGAAGTAAAGCTTTCTGACAGACGTAGGTGTTTATGATTTGAGTTGATTTTAAAACTTAAAAACACGTCTTTCTTTCTTTGTGAATGTGTAGTTTGCCGCACTTTAAAATATACAGTGATGCGAGTAACAAAGTACTGTTAGGTGTGAGGTCTTCACACTCTCTTATATTTCCATTTTACTCTGCTTTATACTTCTACTCCAATAAATTTATTTAATAACTTCAGTCATTTTTCACATTAAGATTTACCCTTAAAAATATAAATTGTACTGTTAATATTAAAATAGAATTATGTTGTTGGATCATTATATCATGTTATATATTCCAGCTTTGTTTCAATGTATTTGGGACCTGCTGCATATTAACATATACAGTTGAAACCATAGCTGTAATTTCATAAGACATTTTTATTTTAAGTGACTTCAGACAAAAATCAAATAAATGTGAGGTAAATTTTGGCTCTTGCAGCCTGTCCTTGGTCATTCATGTCTGTTCCTGACACCTTACATGAGCCAGAAACTAGCAAATTAAAGAATTAACGTGACACCATGTTGGAATTAGTTCTTAACAGATGTCTGGTAAAGTTATTTTGCTTCCTGTAGTTCTGTTTCAGCTGCAGCAGTCGAAATGGCTGAGAAGAGGAAGACGAGGAAGCGATCCATCTCTCTGTACTCCAGCTCCTCCTCTCAGATGTCTCAACAACCAACCAGCTCCAGAAGTGAGCTGATCAGGTACAAGCCAATCATTAGTGAGCAACTGTGATGTCATGAATAAAGGCTGAACACACTGTAGAAAGTTTTATATATATATGTATATGTGTGTGTGTGTGTATGTGTGTGTATATATACATATATATACACACACACACACATATACATATACGTATATATAATTCCACGTGAGATTTCCGAGATTGACCCTTTTGGTTTCCATTTAGCCGAATTTTTTTTTTTTTTTTTTTAAACTTAGTAACGGATGTGATTTCAAGTGTAGCAAAGTACAATACGTGTCTGTGTTTTTGTATGTATTATATATGGACTTGAGTCTGGAATGAAGTTTATCTCAATACCTCAGTCAAAATTTACTCAAGTAAAAGTAAAATTACAGATTTCAAAAACTACTGAAAAAATTACAAATTACACAAAAAAAACTACTCAATTACAGTAACGTGAGTAAATGTAATTAGTTACTTCCCACCTCTGTATATATAAGTGTGTGTGTGTGTATATAGGCCTTGACCTTGAAGGATTAATGTTCCACTATATCCATAAAGGTACTTTTGATATATGATGCAGGAGGGTATTAGGATCAATTAAAAACCATGAAACATTACTACTGCAATTTACTACTGCAGGAAGCCTGACCACGAAATTCTCAAAGGCATGTTTAGCACAATCCCAATGCACTAGGCAGGGGGCACCTGACTGTGATCTGGCTGTGACACTTGGTTCGCGTCAATAGCGACCATCATGTCTTCTTGTGTGCACAGAAAGTGGGGGGACAAAAAGTCTTGTTGTCCACCCTATTCAGGCACCAATGTTGCTGATGTTAGCTTAAGTTCAAAGTACAGTCTCATAGAGTGAACTCTAAGTTATGTTTAGTTGTTTCTAGACTTTTTTAATTCTTCTTCTCTTTGTAGTTCACAGACGAGTGCAGCAGAGTCCTCAGGTCCCAGCTGTGAGTCTATGAAGAGTGATGTGTCCATGTATGAGCCACTCAACTTTGGTGTTAAGAGAAGACGGTAATCCTAAATTTTGTGCACTATTAGTAAATAAATTAATATTTGTAGGTAGAGCAGCACATTCTCACTCCGACCTCGTCACATACTTTCCACGTCCACATACGACGTGCAAGGTACCCTGGGTGTGTTGGTCGTTGATGCTCTGGGACACCGTGTAAAGTTCTGCCTGTTACATGCATTGTCTTCTTTCAAAATACACGTCTGTTTTCACAGGAAATTTAACGTTAACATGCAGTCTCTTTCAAAATAAAAGCATACGTTGGTACAACACTTTGAATTGACATTGTTTTTCCTTCAACAACAAAAACACGTGGTTAGGTTGAGGAAAAAACAACAGTGTTTGGCTTTAGAATCTTATGAGATGTGAACACCGCTCTCTCAGGTGAAAGTTGGTGTTTGTTGGACCCATCCACCACCACTCCCGCCCCAGTTGGACTTTTGCTGCCTTAACGTTCGTCCGTGTCCCACCACATTTCCCCCTGACGCTGCCGGGCGTGGTTAAACTATAACTGGCCACATATCATGCTGATGTTAAAGAACGCCCTTTTTCGTAGGTTTCTGACACTGCAAGTCACTGCCCATGCGCCGGATTTTGACAACTTCGGAGTGAGTCTGGGCTCGTTATAGATGTGCTCTTGGTTGCTGACTAAGTTACTGAGTCGATGCAAAGGTTATACATAAATAAAAGGATTTCTCTAAATAGATCACAGACAAGTGAAGCTGAGTCCTCAGGTCCCAGCTGTGAATCTATGAAGAGTGACGTATCCATGTATGAGCCACTCAACTTTGGTGTTAAGAGAAGACAGTAATCCAAATAACCATTAATAACATTTCTAGGTTATAGATGTGTTCTTGATTGCTGAATGAGTCTCTGAGTAGATGCAAAAGTAATACATAAATTAAAGTCTTCTCTTTTTCTTTTTAGTTCACAGTCAAGTGGCAATGAGCCCACAGCTCCCAGTGTTGTATCTATGAAGAGTGACATATCCATGTTTGAGCCGCTGAACTTTGGTGTTGAAACTACACAAAGGTAATTTAATTTCATGTATTCTGTTTGCAGGTTGCAAAACATGAGGCTCACCTTACTGCATTTCTTTGTTAAAGCCAGTGGTGTGCTAGTTACTGAAAAATAGTAAAAAACTCGACTTAGGACTCTCGTCTTGGCTCGCCATCATGCCATGATATTAATGCATACGCACTAGTGTCATCTACACTCTGAGTATGTCCTGGCTGTAGATGACTGAGTGGGGACGCTAGAGGGTGCCAGGTGCTTTTCATCTTTACAGTGTAGTTTTTCTAAGCTACAAAGAAGATCATGTTTTGGGAAACTCAGCCCTGCAGCCCAAGACATTTCCTAACTATATTGGCTCGTAGCTACATCGCCTAAGCGACAGCGGATTGAGTTTAACCAAGGGATTGTTAGACTACAACTTGACAAAATAACTGAAGGGTATAGGAAACATGCAACATGTCTTCTACAGTGGAGTCACTCGCTGTCAGGCAGCTAAACGTTTTACAACTACAGTACTTGGATACAAATATGGAAAATGAGCTAAAAGCTTCCTCAGGATAACAATGGATATCACGTCACTGGATATAACGTTACTGGGACTAAAAATCTACAGAAGCGCTGCCGCTTAATGTAACATTACAGCACTGTGGTGAGGCCAGCAGGTCGACAGTGACTTCAGAGATGGTGAGAGACGTGTTTCATTAAGATGCTCTGGTAAGAATTGTTCATATACCTGTATCTGACCTGACTATGTTTTATTGTTTAGGGCTAAAATGTTTTAGTGAAAGGGAACTTCAGTTTGTGAAGGAATACTGCATGCTGCGCGCCCTTTTAAAACCTGGCCAAGAATAACGATGTAACGCACCGTTTGGTAACGGTAACTGAGTTACTGAATTTAAAAACTGACACGTTAAGAGTATTAGTTACTGCCAAAACTAACAGCGTTACTGTAATGCGTTACTAATAATGGAGATGATCTGTGATTTATGGAGGATTTCATCCAGGTGAAGAGGTGAGTTTGGTGGTCAAAGGTCAAGGTCACTGTGACCTCACAAAATATGTTTTTGGCCATAACTCAAGGATAAAATGATGAAGTGATGACATTTTATATCTAAAAGGTCAAAGGTCAACTTTACTGTGACATGGGTGCTTTGTGCTACTTAAATTAGCAGCTAACAAGAGTCTGCTGCTTCACAGCTGCTTGATCTTTGTTTCAGCATCTTCAGCAGACACACTCCTATCTCAGACTAGAGAATACTGTTTATGTCTTCACGATATTGAGACCTAAATTTAAATATTTGGTGATGTTTTTTTTACATTGTTTAAATTTGGCGAGGTGGTTAATAACGCATTTTGCTTCACTGGGACTTTAGTGTATTCTGCAAACACAATATCTTGCATCTAAAGCATACTAAAATCAGCAATTCCTTCTTTTAAGAAGTTTGTCATACTTAAAATGTAATAAATTATAAAACAGAAAATGAACAAAAAAAGTTTAAATATGCATGCTGTAGCCATTCAGAACTTAGACTGCTCTGTATAAAGGAACACTAGCTGTAGTTTTCCAGAAATGATCTACTACCCAGTAATAATAAATGCATGCTATTGTGTTACAGCAATTATTTCCTGCCTGTACGAATGAACACAAAATGTAATTGTCCAAGTATGTTGACTTTTTGAAATAAATGGAAGTAATGACCCAAAAACTGAAAACATACACAACAGTGGCCCCAAAACTGTACCTGGTACACATCTGACAGGACTAACGTGGTCATTTGTTGTTCACCCTACAGCAAGCTGAGTGGGGAGCCGTCCAGCTGTTCCATGTGTCTGGAGGTTTTGAGGGATCCAGTTCGTTTAACCTGTGGACACTGGTCATGCAGACTGTGTTTCAGCTCGGACTGCACCTGCACAAAGTGTGAGAAGAAATTCAGAAAAGAGCCGGAACACCAGAGAGACACTGAAGAAGACACTGGTAAGTTTAATTAGGCCGAGATTACGTGTCTGCTTGAGCTGTTTACAAGACCTAGCTAAAATTATTTGATATTAACCACTCATTTATTATTGGAATTTCTGGGATTTGCAAGCATGCATTTGATTGTTTCAGGGGGCAGCCATCTCTTGAGAGCAAAGAAGAATCTTAAAGAAGCAGTTCAAAAGAAATTCACTCTGACATCTGAAGGTAATGGTGACCAACAGAGCTCCCTAAACAGCATCTACACAACACTTCACATTACCACTGGAGAGAGTGAAGGGCCACATGATGAACATTCATTCAGACTCATCAAACCTAAACGACCTTCAGAATTTATCAGCCTCAGTGACATCTTCAAACCTTTGCCTGGCCAAGAGAAACCCCACAGAACGGTCCTGACAAAGGGTGTTGCGGGCATCGGAAAATCATTTTCCGTGCAGAAATTCATTCTTGACTGGGCCGAGGGGAGAGAAAATGAGGACATTGACTTCATTTTCAGTCTCGCTTTCCGGGAGCTGAATCTGAGTACAGATAACAAAAGCTTGCAGAAGCTCCTGACTGAATTCTATCCTGCGATCCGTGATCTGACAGATTCAGAAGATTTCATCAAAGCCAAGGTTGTAGTCATCCTGGATGGCCTGGATGAAAGCAGACTTCAACTGGATTTCAGGAACAAGAAGGTAACATCAGTCAGTGAAGTAACATCTATGGGGAATCTTCTAGCAAACCTCATCCAGGGTAACCTTCTTCCTAATGCTAACGTGTGGATAACATCCCGTCCAGCAGCAGCCAATCAGATCCCTGCAGAGTTTGTTGGCATGGTGACAGAGATAAGAGGGTTCAATGACCCACAAAAAGAAGAATACTTCAAGAGGAGATTTAGAAATGACCCAGGCCTCGCTGACAGGATCATTACACACATTCGCTCTTCACAGAGTCTCGACATCATGTGCCAGATCCCGATCTTCTGCTGGATTTCTGCCGTGTTATTTCAGGAGATCTTTGGAGGAGATGACAAAGCTGAAACTCCTCAAACTCTAACAGAGATGATGGCACATTTCCTGTTTGCCCAGACAAAACGCAGAAGCAGAAAATATGACCAGAAGACAAAGGAAAACAAAGAGAGACTTCTGAAGAAACACAGAGAATTTCTCCTAAAACTCGGCAAGCTTGCGTTTGTTCACCTGCAGAGGAACAGTCTCATCTTCTATGCTGAAGATCTGGAAGACTGTGGCATCGACGTAAAAGAGGCAACCATCTGCTCTGGATTTTGCAACACAATTATAAGAGAAGAACAAGTCTTTTCCCAGAAAAAGGTCTTCTTCTTTGTGCACCTGACCATACAGGAGTTCTTTGCAGCTCTGTTTGTCTATGACTGTTTCACAAACAACAACAAAGAAGTGCTCGGCAACTTCCTCGATCTGAAGGACAAAGAACATACTTTACTTGATCTTGTAAAGATGACAGTTGACAGAGTGTTGGAGAAGAAGAACGGCCACCTGGACTTCTTCCTGCGATTCCTCCTTGGCCTCATGGTAGAACCCAACAGAAGAGTCCTTCAGGGTCTGCTGACATTGACAGATCCAAGCCAGGATACCGACAAGAAAATCTTGACTTACCTCAAAGCCATCCGAAGGAAGGCCCTCTCTCCAGACAGCTGCATGAACCTCTTCCAGACCATGGTTGAGATGAGAGATCATAAAGTTAAAGATGAGATTCAGGAATATCTCAAATCATCAGATCGTTCCAAAACAGAACTGACTCCACTGCACTGCTCTGCATTGGCCTACATGCTGCTGGTATCGAAGAATGATCTGGATGTGTTGGACTTGAAGAGTTACAGCACATCAGACGAAGGCAGAAGGAGGCTGATACCAGCTGTGAGGATCAGCAGCAAGGCCATGTAAGTTTACCTTCCCTGTATTGTGTAACATAATCTGGTTGCACTATGTTGATTTTATCATCTCTGCCAAGCTATGGTGGAGATTTGTCTGTCTGCACCTGATCTCACAAATGATTGGACCAATCATTCTAATATTTTGTGTCCACATTTATGACTGTATGCTCAAGGACCTCCCGTGATTGCAGTGATTCCCAACTGCTGAAAAACCTGTGTAATTAAATGTTTTATACCGCCATTGACTGCTGACTCTTCACTCTCACAGCAACTGGTACGGGCCACATGTTTTCCAGAAATTGTCTTGGATAAAAACAACAAGCCTTACCATCTGTTGCAGGCCTATATCAAAAATTGAAATCATAGAAAAGTTTGGTCTCAATTTGAACCGCAGCATCTGCAGATTAATTTTGTTCCTGATACAAGATGAATAAATTCCCCTTTTTTGTCTTTTCATCGCCATTTTGACTGTAAGGAAGCTGGGAGGGACAATTCTGCATGTCATGGCTGAGACCTGACTATGTTCTGACTGGAGCATATTTTTACTGGCCTCTAGGACGATACTGGAGCACGCTGCGCCATGTCTGCTGCAATTTCAAGAATTGTCTTAAGTGGCCATGATCAGCCCAGGTGGTTGCTTGGCCGCCTTGGAGAGATCTGCACTCCACTGTGTATATTGTGCCTTTTTCTTTATCCTTAAAACCCTTTAACTCTATTTTCCATCTCTAGACTAGCAGACTGCAAAGTGACTGAAGAGTCGATCCAGCATCTGGCCTTTGGTCTCAAGTTCCCCTATTCACCTCTAAGAGACCTGGATCTGAGCAACAATGACCTGAAAGACTCAGGAGTAAAGCTGCTCTGTGAGGGACTGTCGAGTCAATACTGCAAACTGAAGACACTGAGGTATTTATTATTTGTTTACACAGCAGAGTTCATTCTTTGTAATGTCTCTGACTGCTGCTCCTTCAGGCTGAGCTGGGCCATGATGCTCCCTGCATTAGATTCTACTTCTACCATCAAACTTGTGAAACTTCATTTTCTAGCCGCTGCTTTTTATTGATGCTGCCACAACAACATCACATAAGTACCGAACTCTGCTCAAGGGCTGCTCATCAATTTATGCCAGCCTTCTTTAGATTCACTCAGGGATGCAAGAAACTCACAACTGGTGCAGTTGCTTTATATAAATGCATCTTGAACCTGCATGCTAATTAACCAAACACTTTGTTTTCTCAGGTTGTCAGGTTGTCAAGTCACAGAAGAAGGCTGTGTTGATCTGGCTTCAGCTCTACGGTCCAACCCCTCTCATCTGATAGAGCTGGACCTGAGCTACAACAATCCAGGAGACTCTGGAGAGAAGCTGCTCTCTGAGCTGAGAGAAAATCCACAATACAAGCTCAACATACTCAAGTGAGTACAACGCTAGAGTACCAGATTTTTGACTTTCCCACTAACCTGAGAAAAAGTGCTACTAGACTACCTCTACAAATGCACAACAGTAAGATGGAGTGTACGACCAACAGTAAAACTAGCCAAGGGTTTACTCAAGGGCAGTGATGGCCAAATGAAGCCTCATGAACCATTTTCTTTGTTTTGTGAGCCCACTAGATGGCACTCTCTTTTCAACAAAGGGTTGAAAGCAAACTGAATTGCCTTTCCTTTCCTTGAGCCCTTTTCTTTAAACCAAGAGCGCCATCCATTGGGGTCAGAAAAGGGCTCACGAGGCTTCATCTGGCCATCACTGTTCCAGGGCACCCTATCATCAGCCTGAATTCTGATAAAATGTAGTAATGTACAGTTGCACTACAGGTTGGATAACACCAACCATAGATTTATATACGATGGATTCACAATAGACACATCTGATACTCTGATAGCAAAAGGTTCTGAGAGCAACACGTTGTCCTTTAAATCGTTCTTGGTCTGATCATAATTTTTCTTCACAGTGTTGAACATGGTGGAAGTCACCGGATGAGAACGAGATTCAAGAAATGTGAGTATCTGTGTAAATGCTCAACATTTAAAGAATGTTGTGACCACAGTAATGGATCGTGATTTCAATGAACTGGTGAACATCAGAGGAACAAGAATATTGACGATTCTTACTGGAGGAAAGGCAGTCTGGACAGAAAACATGACTTCTTCATCACTCCCTGAGTGGAGTGCTGCCCAGCGATATTATTACAGTCTATGCTTTTAACATAAAGTGTTTTCTGACCTCCAGATGCCTGTGAGCTCACGTTGGACCCCAACACAGCCCACAAGAACCTCCTTCTCTCTGAAGGGAACAGAAAGGTGACATGGGTGCAAGAGGAGCAGACATATCCCCATCACCAAGAAAGGTTCGATAACTGCCAACAGGTGCTGTGTCAACAGGGTCTAGATGGGCGTTGCTACTGGGAGATGGAGGTGTTGGAGCCCTTCACCATGGGGTTAACGTACAGAAGCATTGGCAGGAAAGGTGATGTGGATGATTGCAAGCTGGGACGCAACGACAGGTCTTGGTGTTTGATTTGCGCTGATGAAGGTTGTTTTGTTCTGCACCACAATGAGAGCGTCAGTGTATCTTCCCTCTCCTCGCGCTCCAGTCGGGTGGGGGTGTACCTGGACTGGCCGGCTGGGACTCTGTCCTTCTACAGAGTTTCCTCTGACAGTTGGACCCGCCTCCACACCTTCAAAGCAACGTTCAGCGAGCCCCTCTATCCGGCTGTTGAACTTCACACTCATTCCTCCGCACTTTTTTGTCACATAACTTAGCTCAGTTAACACATAGCTAATTAAACTTTCACAGCAATCACAAACAAAGGTGTAGATTTGCATTTGGATAGTTGGGACGTGTCCCATACAATCAATCAAAGGCCTGCTAGAGGTAGTCAGACAGAGAACCATCTGGCTGATTGTTCAGGCTCGTAAATTAGTGATTGCACCCTCAGAATGAGGTATCACTGTGTTTTTACCTTCACATTTTCTTTTGCCATGTGCTTAAGACCGCAGGCCGACAACACCAATAGTGTGAAGCAAAACTGACTGTTACCAGACACGTTTTCACTTTGTATTCCAAAGGAAAGAGAAGACATTATGTCCTGGTTAAAAAAAATGTTCAAATTTAAATAACAACTTTGCTAACATGGCAAGAACCACACTGGATAGCCAAACAGCTTATGTAACACAAGCTAACCTCCCAATGCAGAGTGATGGAGGTATTTACGGTGGATCTTCACCAATGTGAAACACATGCACAACATTAAGAAAAAATGCTGCAAAGTGAGGAAATACAAATACAGAAACATTCCCTGAGGAAAACTGGTGACTCTCTTCAAGGGAGAGAGAGATCTGGCCAAAAAGTTGCTAGACATGCTAGGTAAGGGGGCTAAATCTAGCAAGGTAGTCGGTAAGTTGGCAGCAGTGCATGTGCTATGGGCCCAGAATTTGCAAGGGCCTATGTCGACGCAGAGCCTACACCATAGGTATGGCATTGATTCAATGCAGAAATATAAATTCCACCTTAGAGCTGTAGCTGAAGAGAGGCATGGGAATGTGCATAACATCCCAGAGTACTTCACAGAGAAGTCAGTCCACAGGCTCCGAGAAGCAACTGAGAAGGTCGGGGAGAGTGTCGTTTTTTTAGTTGTGTTACAACCTGTTCACCCACTGGCAATGAAAAATGATTCATACATGTAAAGAGTTACAAAGCTTTGAAGAACTGAACTGAACTGAACTGAAGAACCTCCACTCACACCTTCTTCAACCTTGTTGTTAGAGCAGGAGGATAAAGGTTAAAGGAATAAACCAGACCTCAGTTTGTTTTAACGAGCAGAGATGTTTGCTAGTTACCTGCAGGCTAACAGTCAGGTGCAGTCTTATAGGATGGAAGTGGTTAGCTAGCACTGCAAAATCATTTTAGTAAACAAGCTCAGTTGGTGTCATCAAAAAACACGTTTAACAGAAAGAAGAATGTCAATATGATAATGCTCAAAAGTACTTTTTTTATGCATATGTAGCATGTAACAGCGATAAACACAAACACAGAATGGTTTTCCTTTAAGATTCAATCATAGAAATTATATTTTTAACAGCAGCAGTGGTGATTCTTATTCAAATAATTTCATACAATATAATGTTGTCTCTAATTTATCCTGTGTAATATATCTCCTAAAATATAAAATACATCGCCATAAAGCACTTTTGCAACGTCGAGCTGCTATGAGCGTTTGTGTGTTAGTGAAAGAGAGGAAGTGAACACGAACATGTTAGCTCGGGTTTCAAACATGTCTCTACTAATCTCAAAACCAAACCTACAACCTGTTGCTCCTGTTTTCATTTTTATTTTTTTTCACCCTATGCTATTATCTCACATAAAAGTCTAAACTTAGAGATGTATCTCCGCAGTCAGGAGCTGCGGGTATGGTTGTGAATATTTAAGATTCAACCAAAAAAATGTTTAAATTTTATGTTTAAATGCACTCCCTGAAGAAATATGATCACATTTTTGGAGAAATCAAAGAGTGATTCCAGAGAGAAGCAGACAGAGGGATCTACAGTCTGTGTTTGAAGGATATATCCAGGATGTCAAACTGACTCAGCAGAAACAACAGGTTAAAAAGACAAAGATAGTTAGAAGCTAAAGCCGAACTATAGGCTACAGATCACAGTGTAAAAGTGAACCACCACATCACTGCTGATCGCCACACAAGACAATGAATATAAAGGGAAACTTTGCTGATATTGAACCAGCTGTGTGGCATCACAGTGTGTGCAGACAGATTTGCAACTAACATTTAAATCATACAGGTTTGATCATCTTCAGGGTTTTTATTAAGTTTTAGTCGTTCATGTTTGACCAACTTATATTTGTACAAGTTTAACCATTCAACTTTTAAGTTTTATGTGTGACCGAATAACTTTGAACTGTGGTAAAGTTTTACATTTTGTTGTTGTCAATGAGTGATAGTTTAGTGCAGATAGTGTGTGATTGTGTAGACAAGCGGATAAATACACTGTAGATATGAGTAGTTGACTGTATTATGCTTTTTAAGTATAGGTATGATGTGTCTTTTTAAACATTTCATTTAAGTAGCTGTCTTTTATTATTTTTCCACTCAGAATATTTTATGCTTCAACATATTTATTTGCTCCTTCTCATGTAGTGCCTATATTTTATAGGACCAGGTACATCTGTGTGTTGAGACTCTGTATCAGTGATCAATAAATCATTTGTTTGTAAAGCAAATAATGCATTAAGCTGCTCTTTCCTTCCTTCCCTCAAAGTGCTCGACACTATCAACTTTCAGTAACGTAGCTTAAATTTATGCACCTCAATAAATCCGTACCTTGCATGTGAGCTTTTCGTCATGTTTTGCTTTCATTTTGATGTTTCCGATTGTTTCTCAGTGTTTTCATGCAGCCGGTCAATAACAATAAAGGTGTTTCCTGAACTACTTCCTAATCACAATCGGCGTGGACCACGTGATGGCTCAAGTTGTTTCCCCTTTTGTTGACAAATAGCAGTGGGCCTGCAAAAACAGAAGAAAGTTCTGGGTCCGACTTTAATATGCGCAGTGTTTTATGAAAGAGAGAGCCAGTTCTAATGATTGGTCAATCCACTGTGATGGGTATCCCTGCTGTGCAAATCTGTTTTTCAAACCCATTCTGATTTAATGCTAAAATGTGGGTGCACCGTCATGAAACCAAAAAATATAAAGTTCTTCCTTTTGGATTGGAACGTCAATTAATGTTTGAGCATCAAATTATCTCCATCTACTGGTGACTAAAAGTAACTACAAAAACACTGTGTTTAAAACACACAATAACAACAAAGTACAACAGTTGACAAAAGTCCTTTTGTAGCATTTATTTGAATCACCTCACTATTATACAGTATATACACACACACACACACACACACACACACACACACACACACACACACACTAACACAGACATGCACTCACACAGACTCACACAGACACACAAACTGATGCTGCTGCTTCAACGTCTCTGGATCATCAGGACACAGCTGATCCTCTCATCGCCTCCAGCTGATGAGAGAAGAAGACAAGAGAAGTTATAAACCAGCTGTCAGTCAGTGATGCATCACATCCAGTATAAAGACCAGTAGGGACTTCTTGTTCAGAGCAGAGTGGAGCGGCTGTGTAGCGTAGTCGGCTTCCTTCCAGCTCTCATGTTAACGTGTTGGAGTGAACACACTGAGCTGGAAGCTCACAGACCTGCAGAGACTTTGGGCATCAAGTCTGTTTACTCTGCAGATTTCACTCAAGTACACAGTGGAAATAAACTGCTGAGAGTCCTGAACGCATCATGGCTGCACAAACAGAGGGATTCACTTTAATGATGGATTTACTGAGTCTGTTAGAACAAATGACTGATGGACAGATATATCATGTTAAATGTTCTACATGTTCATCCAAAGACTGAACAGCAACACATCAGCTGTGATTACTGGACTTCAGCAGAG